CGCAAACCAAGACAAAGACTGAGTACGCAAGACTAAGACTCGTCTTGGTCTCGTATTGGGGCAACACTACGATAACACAACTCCGAATTGCGTGAACTTAGTAATGAAACAATTCCTAAAACGTTGAGATGCTTTGTATCGACAGGTAAACATCCGAGGGGTAGACCGAAGCGATTATGGGAAGATTGCTTTGAGGCCGATATGAAGGGACTGGTTTGGACTGCGACCGGTGGGGAGAGGTGTGACAGCGATTGTTTTTGTCGGCATCGAACCTTCGGGTTCGCTGAGTTTTTCATTGTTTATTTATCACACATAAGTACAAGGTGATTAGTATTGCCCAAAATCGGCAACACTAATGCAAGTTCAATACCAAGACTGATAAAAAAAATCGATTTTTTAAATAAAAATTAAGGCGAAATAGTTACTAATGTTTGACAATTTTAGTTACCATATGTAAAGAATTATTATAACAAATATGCTTTTGCATTTAACTCTTCTAATTTTTCATTCGGGCGTGGTTAGTAATATCTCTATAGTACTAAGCTAATAGGCAACTGCAAGACCGTTGCGATACTCTCGCGCATGACCAATACCTATACCAAAACTTAGTTTACAAGACCAAGAGTCTCCTCGGTCAAGCATTTGGGCAACAATAAAGGAGATAAAGAAAAACTATAATATTGATAAAAAATATAAATATTTTTTATTTGTTTATTCTTTCGTTATAGCCCCGAAGAAGTCTGTTAATAGCTCAAAGCCTACAATTTAACTGATACTTTTTTTCCCCCTTTCGCCTCTTTGACTTATTGACTTCTGTCATTTGTACTCTACTAGCTACGGGGCTGTTCCGGGCAACAGCTGTGGTCGTTTGATTTCTTATACTCGTATAGATATTCAGGATGCACGTGGTTTATAATAACCGAACGAGATCATTAATCACTCCCTCTTTATTAGGATGGTGGGCAACCCTTTTGTAAACTTCTTCATTCCTAAGTTTTTTTACGGAATAGGGTTAACTGAAGGATCAGGAGGTAATTTTAATTTTGAGGAGTTTTTCGGCTAATAGGTTTGGTTAATCCTAAAAATTTATACATTCGTTAGGCTAGAGAAGGTGAATTGAATAACACATTAAAAAAGGAGATCGGACAAAGTTGAAAAATGAATGTGTTTTAAGCGACAACGTGTTACAGATGTTGAGGAATTCGTATTTTTCCCAATGAGTTGTGATGAATTATTCCATCAGTTGAAGAGTACAACTTTTTAATGTGGCTCGCGGTTGAGTAGGTTTGAATGAGAATCGAAGTAACTACCTAACTGGGACGTCTAGACAAATTGCTCAAGAATTCATAACTTTGGTTCTACTTAATATTTTGTTTTCATTTAAACCCTATGTTTAAGGTCAACCAAACCTAAATATAATGTCGAAAGTCTACCATTAGACATTTTTGAGGTGGACAATGCGGACATCCAGACTGACGAAAAAATCTTTTAAAAGTGGATTTGGTATCGGTAATGTATGGAACGGAAAGATATCATGGAACGGGTTTATTCAATTCAATGTACACACAAAACCTTTATTTTATTTATATAGATGATCTTTATCCTATAAACATATGTTTGTTATTAACATTTATTATCAACATTAACCGAGATCTCTAGCCAACTTACTCAAGAATAGATAACTTTGGTTCTACTCAATATTTTGTTTTCATTGTAAAACTTAATGTAATGTCAAAATTTCAAAAGTCTACAATAAGCCATTGCTAAGCTTACCCCTGACAAAATTCCGTTGCAATGCGGACATACAGACAGACAAAAATATTTTAAAAAGTGGATTCTGCAATGTATGAAACGGTAGGATATCATAAAACGGGTTAATTCTATTCAATGTGCATACAAAACCTTTATTTTAGTTATATAGATAAATACTTCACCTGAAACAAATAAACACACAAGTATTTTTATTTATTTTTTATCTTTTTTTTTTGCTTTTTAAATCCCGCGAACGGGATTTAAATTCTTAGATTAAAATTTTTAAAGGCAGCTAAATTCGTTCGAACACCGCGGCTCTATCTGATCCTGGTTTACTGTATATTTTAAGTTTTGTTAATAACATTAAAATTTTATTTACGTTACATATTTTACTTTATTATATATTTTCTTTTATGCGTTTTAATTCAATGATAATTAACTGTGAAATATTCAAATAACAGTAATTAAAGTTTAATTTTATTTTTTTATTTCAGTTTATCGTGAACACTATCACCGCCCTCATGACCTTCAGCAAGATGAACGACCGACGCCAATCTCAGTATTCCCCACACATTGATTATAATTCCTTATAAATAATACAAGAGTTATTTATTGTTATCTAGTTATTATTATTTATTTAAATAGTTAATTATATAATATATATTTATTCTCTTTGATTATTTTTAATTATTACTAAAAATTAAATGAAATCTGTACCTTATTTACCTTCATGTAATAAAGTTTAAATTTTATTTTCCTATCTGCTTTCCCCCTCTAAAACAGAAACTCATTTTGTTTCACCCACCCTCAGTCAATCTAAAATTAACTTAATGACCGAAAGAACGTAGACAAACTAATTATTTAAAACGCTTCCACCTAACCGTGCGTTTATACATTTCACAAACTATGTAAAACACAAATGTCTAAATCAGTTATTTTCTATGCTAGTGTTTTCGTTTCTTTTTTTTTATCCCTGTTCCATTTGATGTCGGTTTTTCAAACTAAATCATAGGAAGGTATATAGGAAGGAGATGGTCAGGATGGAGGTCATAATAGTGGCAAAACTACTTTATTAAAAGCCAACGTTTCGGCCCGACTTTGCAGGTCTTCTTCAGGTCTAGAACGGACAAGAAACAGAAAGATATAGATCTGTTTTTTCACTATATCTTTTTGTATCTTGTACGTTTTAGACCTGAAAAAGATCTGCAAAGTCGAGTCGAAACGTTGGCTTTTAATAAAATAGTTTTGCCACCATTTAGTCTATTTATGATCGATACCCCGGACCATCTCCTTCCTTAATAATACAACTGTCAACTATTAAGTATTCAATACGAAGTTATATAGGTATTAATAACTAGGAGTCAGTATCGTTTTTATACATTTTATTACTATATGTTCTGCTTGAGAGAAGTAGGATTTAGTGGTTCCTGGTATGATTTATACGAATTTTCTTAACCCATCATCTCCTTTGACGATTTTTTCACCTTTTATTCATTTTTCTTCCTTAGGTTTCATTTTAAAATTATAATAATCCGGGCGATTCCGAACATCCGTCATGTTTGTTTCTCTGGAAATACAGAAATGTCTAACCGTCCTATTTCTTGTGAGTTTTTTTTTGTGTATTTTATAAATGTCTATACCCGACTTAAGTAATAATGGAGTTATTTTTTATTATTATATTATTTTCAGTTTTCTCTGCTGTCGGTTTTTCAAAATAAATCATAGGACGTTATATAGGTATTAATAAATTAATAATTAATAGGTATTAATAGTTGCTAGTACCGGTTTTACAATATTTACATTTCTTGATAGATGTAGAATTTAATGGTTCCTGGTGTGATTTATAAGCATACTCTTCATACACATTTTCCTAGACCAGAAGAGAGGGCGGGAGGTTATTTTCAGAGTTAACACCACACCCTTTCATTTTTTTCTTTTTTCACTTCTTTTTGTTTCATTCTAAAATCATAATAAACAGAAGGATGGTTGGGGTGATCAGTCAAAATAAAAACGGCAAAGATAAATAATAATATTTATTTTAACATTTGCCGACGTTTCGACCCGCAGTTCAGGCCTTCATCAAGGCTGAGAAAAGATCCAGATAACAATAGGTATAAGAAACATAAACAATGTAGGTAAAAAAATACTTAAGTAAAATGAAGTAGATAAGTGAACATTAAAGTCAAATAAAGTAGGTAGAATAATAACAATAAGAAGAACAAGGGAATAAATAATAATAACGGCTGAGAAGTGTGTACTAATGAAGTGAACATAATCAAAACAAGGCAACATAAGAACTAAAAATGTTAATCTTAGAATAAATGTAAAACAGAGAAAAGTAATATGAAGTTATATAAGAAATAAATATAAATAGATAAATTCATATATTGTAAATAGAATAGTTTAAATAGAAAATTGAGATATTGTGAAGTCTATCATAGTTCTTTTCTCAGCCCTGATGAAGGCCTGTACTTCGGGTTGAAACGTAGGCAAATGTTAAAATAAATATTATTAATTATTTTTGCCATTTTTATTTTGACTGATTACCCCAACTATCCTTCTCTTCATTATTCACTAAAGTCAACCATCAACCCACAATTAAAATTATAATAGTTAGGGCTAATGCGATTCCGAACATCCGCCATGTTTGTTTTCTGGAAATACAGAATTGTTTAACAACCCTATTTTTTTATGAGTATTTCGGATACTTCCTTCGGTTTCATTTTAAAATATTATAGACTAGGGAAAATATGATTTCTAAGTCCGCCATGTGGTATACTCTGGAAATAAAGAAATGTCTAACCATGCTATTTCTTGTGTGTTTCTGAAATGCCTAAACCCGGCTAAAGAAATAATGGAGTTAATTATAATTAGTATATCATGATTTAGAGATGATTAACCCTAATTATATGAGAAGGAGTTTGTTGTGGGGTGCCCCCAAATAAAAACTATATATTAAAATACTTTTTTATTATTTAAGCCTAATAGACTCAAGTCTACTTTCCTGTTCACCTAGCTCCCTCAAGTACCTGATACCACGCCCTGATAAAAATCTATAAAGTGGGTCGAAACGTCGGCGTAAACAATAAAATGTTTTTTAATATATAGTATTTATTTGACCGCACCCTCTCTCCCACCCCTTCCCCTTTCCTCCCCACGACTAACTAAAACTAACACAATCAAATCATTCTTCGTCTATTTCCCGAGTAACAATGAAAGGAAAAAAAAACTTCATGATGAAGCTTTGCGGCATATCCTGTTTTGTTTTTTTAATTGGATAGTTGGAAAGTCATGTTTTACAATTAATGTCCTTTGTAATTATTAATATATTTTAATGTTGTAACAGATCTTCAATGTGAAACGAATCAGAGCATTTATGTAATTATATTATAATCTTCTACCAGGTGATCCTTGCCATAGACCAGGTATGCGAGAGAGAGGAGCGATATCGGACAAGTATGTTCCGCTGGACATGTTGTATTTTCCTCTGCTCTGTAACAATTAAATCATTATGGATCAGGAATCTGTCAAATAGCTATAAGAATTTACAGTAATTTAAAAAAAAAAATTAATAAAGTATACATGAATAAGAATTGAGAAAGATATTACAAAAATAATAATTCACAACTTACAAGAGATATTCTTACAAGGGGAGGAGTTTTAAAGCTAGAAGGAATTGGATGGTTTAAAGACACCCCTGAAGCTTTGATGTCACCTTAGTAAAGGTCTCCTTAACAATGACTTCTTTAACAAAATATCTTAATAAATGTCTCTTCAACAAAGATCACTATACAAAGACAACAGAGATTACCTTGAGGTTACCTTTATTAACAAAACCGTGCAGCAATTTAGACAGAAAGAGACATACAAAGACAGACAGAAACACAGAAATCCTTCCACACCCACCTTATTCGCCAGACTTATCTCCAACAGATTTCTGTCGGTTCAAAAATTTGGACAATTTCCTGTAAGGTAAAATTTTTGTAAATGATTCTCAGATCAAAAACATTTTCAGACTTCATTTCTTCTTTTTCAGTTCTGGCATCGAAAAGTTGATAACGTATTGAATAAAATGTATATAAAATAAGGATAAACAGGTCATATTAACAAAGGTCAATTTAACAATGGTCAACTTTTAAAGAACACCTTAGCAAAGGTTAGTATAACAAAGGTGTCTATATAGTGCATCTTAACGTAGGTTACCTTAATTTCTTCTTATTATTATTCAATAATCTCTTCTACCTTTCGGTGTTGAGATTTGTTCTGTCGAGGGCTGCTCTCCTGGCTTCTGGCCATCCAATTTCTTTATCTTTAAGAATATTCTTGAGATTATCTTCCCAAGTAATTCTTGGTCTTTCTCTAGGTCATTTTCCCTCTGGTTTAGCCTCTATAATTTTCTTCGTTGAACGGCAATCAGCCATCCTCATCACATGACCGAACAATCTAAGCTGACCTTTCTCTATACCTGGTTGAGGGGTTCGAGTTTTTAGTACAGTCTGTATCGTTGTGTTACGTATTCGGTCTCTCTTGCTCTTTCTCTCTATTTTTCTCAGATACCTCATTTCTATGCTTTGGAGTCTATTGCGATCACTTTGTTTTAGGGTCCAGGATTCGCTTCAGCAAGTTACGATAGGGACGAACGTTGAGCGATAGACGGCTAGTTTAGTTTCTTTTGCCATTTTTCTCTTACTTAAAAACTTCTCCTCATGATGTGAATCCAAAATTCTTCTTGTTTCTGGACACCAGCATGTATTTGGTCTTGGAAGTGCTTATGAACATATTTCTTTTTGCTAACTCTTCTATCCAGACATATAAATTTTCTTGAAACTTTTCTTCACTGTCAGCTATTAGGATAATGTCATCAGTAAATGCAAACGATGAACAGTTGACTGGTTGCAATTTTCAATATCCCAGTGGTGCCTCCTTGGTTTTCCTTCTTACGTTTCTTAATAGCATCATCCATGAGGGTGATGAAATATAGATACCTTAACAAAGGTAACTTAGTATAGGTTACCATAATAAAAGTATCCTTTACTAAGGTCGCTTTAATAAAGATTACTTTAACAATGATAACCTTAAAAAGTTTATTTATTATCACAAAAAATAAACGGAGTAAAAAAAAAATCACACTTACTTAAAAACGACTTTAAGAATATTGCTGATTATGTCCGTGTGGTGTTGAATCTCTGCAAGTTCACAGAACGCTCTTACAATGCAGTCCCTTCCCTCAAGCCCGTATCTAAAAGAGCAGAGAATTATATTTAAAATTTAAAAGATAGATATATTAAATTAAAAATTATTTATATGGTTTTGAAGAGCAATAATTTGGCTTTTCAGCGGTTACAGTAACATTGAATTAGCAGAAAATCTTTAGGAGTTATAAATGTTTTAGTGAATGGTAGGGAAAAACATTGAAGAGTAAGGTGGTTACTATGGTAACGAAGCTCAACAGTGTGTGTGTGTGTGTGTGTGTGTGTGTGTGTGTGTGTGTGTGTGTGTGTGTATGCGTGCGTGCGTGCGTGCGTGGGTGCGTGCGTGGGTGTGTGTGTGTGTGTGTGTGTGTGTGTGTGTGTGTGTTTGTGTGTGTGTGTGTGTGTGTGTGTGTGTGTGTGTGTTTGTGTGTGTGTGTGTGTGTGTGTGTGTTTGTGTGTGTGTTTGTGTGTTTGTGTGTGTGTTTGTGTGTTTGTGTGTGTGTTTGTGTGTTTGTGAGTGTGTGTGTGTGTGTGTGTGTGTGTGTGTGTGTGTGTGTGTGTGTGTGTGTGTGTGTGTGTGTGTGTGTGTGTGTGTGTGTTCACACAATAGTTCACAAAGGTGTTTTTTTATTTTCTATACGGCTTATCTTTGTCAATTCTTCATCAAATGAAGTGATTAAGCCCTTATTTCGAAGATCTCATTCTCTTCAGACGGGAAAAATAATCATATCCCCTCGAAATTTCAGAAAAAAGTTATGAAGGAAATGAAATTTTTGATTGTACCCATGATTAATCGAAAGATTACCAAATTCAATAAAAATCATCGAAATCGTACATTTTTTAGTAAAAATACAACCTATAGTTATATACAAGTGTTTTTATTACTGTCGTCAATTTAATGTTGTGGTTCTAACAAGAAAAATAAAATTATTTTATCTAACTCATAATACATTGCAATAACTTATTTATATTAAATTGTCCTTTGTTTATAATATTATTTTTCTTAACCTTGATGGAAGCCTACAAGGCAGGTCGAAGACCTACAAGGTTGGCATTTATTAAAACTATAATTTTATCCTGAAATAATACATTATTAATATAAAATATTTATTTTCAAGAAGGCTTAAGCTTAAGATTACCTTTCTAAAACTGTGGATATGGAATCGTGAACATGTGACCGCTGCCACACGTAAAACAAAGAACTTGAAGGAGTGGGGCGAATGTCCCAGTTGAGTCGAAATCCACTGGCGTAAGCGAATATGGCAGTATATGGCACTACGTCCACCTTCGTGTTCATCCTCAGCTAAAAAGAAAGATGGAATAAAGTTTTAGTCAAACGAAGCAACAAAAATATATTAAATATTTAATAGCTGAACGTTGCATTATAAAGGAACTAGTTTTACATCTATGTACGTTTTACTTCTTCCATTTTTGCTTTTATTCACATTGTACTCTTATCTATAATCTCTTAATTCTATTTTATATGTATATGTATATATTTATAATTTGATATTTCATAGATATAGTATTATTTCCCTTGTATCCATCCATATCATCAAATTTTAGATTGTAATTGTAATTTTCTAGGTTTTTCCCTATTACCCAAACAAGTCAGAAAATTCCCCAATACCTGCCTTCATTATTCTTCTAATTTTATTTACTTATTTATTTATTTTTTGGTTTTCTTTTTTCTTTTCTTTCACCACATTCCTTTATGTCTATTATTTCATATTCTATCTTATTTTCTTTTCTTTCAATCTCTCCTGTAGATCTGTAGAAGTATATTCACATTTGCATTTATTGTATATTACACTAGAACAATTGTTACCATCTATTTACTTCAGTTTAGGATCTTGTTACTTAGCTTACTCTGTTTAAATTTTAATGTACTTATTGTTTATAATTTTAATAAGTTTAATCACATTGTTTATAATTTTTTGTCTAAATATTATGTTCCTTTCACAATTCTCTATATTTTTGTATCTTGTCCGTTCTAGTCCTGAAGAAGAACTGTAAAGTCGGTTTGAAATGTTGGCTTTTAATAAAATAGTTTGGCCACTATTTAGCATATTTATGATCGCCACCACGAACCATCTCCTTCCTTTAAAAATATATTTAACTTTAAGCCATAGCTATACACTACATCTGTGAAGAACTACTTGTAAAATATCAAATATGAAAGGGAATTTACAAATATGGCAAACATCGGTAGCTAAAGTTAGGAGTTATACTGAAAAAAAAACTACAACAAAAAAAGAAAGGTTTAAACTAATATTTTTGAAAGAGAAGGAAGTATTTTACTATAAAATATTGATTTAATATTTACTACTGAAATACTATAAAAACTATGCTATAAATAATATTTAAAAAATACCATAAAATAATGAAAATACTGAGCTAAGTATTTACCCTCCTCTTACTCGTTCCCTCTTCTAGAAAAAGGATCTTTTTTCTGTATTGTTTTGAATATGACATATTATAATATATTTCCATTTTAAATATTGTCGAAAATTCCATTGCAATCTGCGAAGAAAACAAATCCCTCCCGAGAGCAGACAAATACAAATACCTCAATGAAGCACCAACATTCGGAAATAGACCAAATATACATTATATTCTCTTTCAATGTCATTGTATTCGTAAAAAAATCTATAAAAATATCAAATTAAGGATGTACAATGCAATGACAATGCCATTTTTGATATACGACTGCAAGACCTGGACTCTAACCAGCAACTTAGAAAAACGTTTGAGAAAGACCAATAAAGAATTACTTTCAAAAAATGGTCAATCAATATCTCATATTATGAAGGCAAAGAGGTCACGATAGCTTGGGCTTATATTCAATCAAAAAGCCTCACATTGTCGTGTTTCTTGTATTCAACAAGAAACGCGACAATGAATGCCTCAACAATATGCAAGAGATCACGTGGAAGACCAAAAATCCAGATAAAACAAACAAAAATGCAATAGAGCGGATAACTGGGAAGAAATAGCCCAAGATGGGCAGAGATGGAGGAAATTGATTAGGGCGGCAAAAGATTTACAAGGCCTGTAAAGTAAAAAGTTTTTTATTATTTTTACTTTTTTTCTTTATTATTTTTACAATGTATTTTTTTCTATTTCTTTTAATGTATATATTTTTACTTACATGTTTTATTCTTAGCTTTTATTTTAATTTGTATATAAAAAGTATGAATGTAAGCATACAGCCATAATTCCGAATGCCCTTGAATGTGGCAGATTGAATTATTATTATTATTCAAATAAAAATCCAATAATAATAATAAAAGGCTTAGCGAACCCGAAGGTTCGATGCCGACACCACCAATCGCTTGTTACACACCTCCTTCCACCGTTCGCCGTCCAAACCCAGTCCCTTCAGATCGGCTTTAATGCAATCCTCCCATCTTCGCTTCGGTCTACCCCTCGGACGCTTACCATTCGGCACAGCAAATATTAACCTTTTAGGAATTCTCTCGTTACTAAGCCCAACAACTTTACAAGCCCATTTGATTCGCCGCGATGAAATTACCTCAATTATATTACCCGGATACAGTTCAATTTCGTTTTTTCTAGTTATCTAAGACCCTAGATACCTAAACTTTTCTACCTGTTGAAACATATTACCATCTATATCGATATCATCAGTAGTACCGCCATTTTTGCAGCTAACCATATATTTTGTTTTATCCACGTTTATTTCGAGTCCTAGTTCTTTACCGGCTTTAATTAACGTTGTCGTATTTAGTTTTATAACTTCAAATCCAAATAAAAATCTATAATATAAAAAAAAATTGAGGTGAATTTTAATTCAAATTGAATTGACTCTTAAAGTAATGATAGTAAAAATAAAAATGTAAAGTTCTACATTTTAATACAGCATATTCATGTACAGATTCTCGACAATTTCCGGAATTATTCGGATATGATCTACAATCTGACTTACTCAGGTTGGTGACGTCTATGATATATAATATCTGTTATAATGCGGAGAATATAATGTATTATACATTATTAATATAATGCATATTATCTATGTTTACGTGCTTGAGATTGCAGAATGATATTTTGCAATTAATCAAGGGATATATTTATTCATGAAATCATCGTCGTGTTTGTCTATTGTTTATTCAGATTAAATATGTGTTTTTGTGGTTGTTAGTAAATAGATGATTCTTTATAATTTACACTTTAAGGTCAAAGTAAACAGAATTCTAAATTTATTACTATATAAATGATAACGATTGCTATCGATAAATGCGTAGATCGATTTATTTAAACAAGGTTGGAGCTTATGTGATTTCCATTCAGGCTTTGAATCTCTGTAATTCACATGATGTAAGTATCGGTTTAGCCATGTTGTATTGAAGATGATAACGGTTATCACATTCATAATTCGAAATAAATCATTAATTAACTTTAACCATCGATCAATTATACAACTATTCATATTATTTTTATCAATTTATCGTTGACCTAGATGTATTTCTTTATTTTTATCTATTTTTAACATGAAACCAATAATGAATAGTGAACTCTTCGACAGTTGGATTATGAACTACTGCATTCATTCATTGTAATAAATGTATCTGATTGTGTATATATTTATCTCTAAATATGTATATAAACTATATTATAAATGATTTAAGGAAAGAAGAATTAAGGTAGCACTTTATAAGCGTTGCCTCACTTTAATGGAAGGCACAAGATCTCATTTTTATTTTAATTATATATTATTTTGTAAATATATAATTTAATGTATGGCCTCATGGCCTTATTTTTCCCATATCCATATTTTTTTTTTTCTAAAGGGACAACAATCCCAGGATAATAAAAAATATTTCATTTCAATATATTACAATAATTTCTCTATTCCCCTATGCGATGAAATGCGTTATTCGGCCCTTCACTTGCATATGCAACAATGTAGCGACAAAACTACTGAATAAACGATATGGTTTATTATCCAGACTACTAGATAAATGTTGCAAAATAATTTTGTAAATATCGGAGTACTCTAATTCTCTTTGGGACCAAAGTATTGATTGACGCGTCTATGTTTATATAGTAATCATATAAATGTATAAATTAATTATTACAAGGTTTTATATGAATGAATACACACAATAAATATTAACTATGTCACAAAAGGTTATTACAAAAATATAGACTGTAATGATAATTCAAAATTGTGATGCACAATTAAAAACGCTACAAATTATCACACTGTGGTTTATTATTTCCAAACAATCATGCATCAAAAGAAACATTACTTTTCTTGTCACAAAAAAGAAAATAATTAAAAGAAATAATTATTAATGTTGGCCTAAATAATTTTTTGCCATCATTAGTCATTTTCTAACAAAAATAGACTTTTAAAAATTTAAAAAACAAAAATAAGGAATATGCTGTACAGTAGAACATAAGAAAACTATTTAGAACATCATTTATTTGCACCAAATTGTCCGATTTCAACGAGTTTTTTTTTTTTGTTTCTTAGGAAACATATTAAATTTTAATAAAACACAGAACACTCAGAAAAAATTATATTTTTTAAGTTATATTATAAATATTATTTGTCTAACCATTGTATACTTTTAATCAAACTATGTTATATTTATATTGATTGGCACCTCTTGCTTACGTTCATTTCATTACTAGCAAATAGTCACATTTCTGTAAGCATAAGAAACAACGCAAATATTGTACACATCTGTAATACTTAGCAAATTATTTACATTCTACAAACAGAAATGTTAGCTCCCTTCCCCTCTGACTATGTTTACCTACCTTTTGCTATCTGAAAAAGGACAACTGGGAAATTCTGTCTCTCTCCCTCCCCCTCTCCACGATCTTTTCACTTACCTACCAAATGTGTCAGTAATTGAACATCCTCAGTGCTCAAATCACGGTTAGTTAGAGAAAATATTACATATTTTTTTTAATGGATTATATACATTATTTTTTAATTTTTAGTTTGTATAACTATTTACATATTTCATTTTTAGAACAAAAACTATATGCAACTGGAGTATTTTTGGATGTTGCTCAGGCGTTTGATAGAGTCTGGCACCAGGGTCTTCTCTTTAAACTTAAGACTGTAATATCATACACGTACTATCTTATCCTTCAATCTTTCCTCTTCGACAGATTTTTTTTCAGTTCGGCAGGGTTCAGGAATGTCTTCAGTTCGTCCAATCTTGGCAGGAGTTCCCCAAGGTTAAATGCTAGCCCCTCTACTTCATGTTATATACACTTACGATATACCTATTAACGATGACATCTTGACAACTTATGCAGACGATACAACAATTATCACAAAACATCAAGATCCTAAACAGGCTTTATTAACTCTACATCATCACTTACGCTTGCTTAAATTACAGGATTGGTTCACACTATGGACAATTCGACTTAATCATGACAAATCCAAACATATAACATTTACTCTTCGAAAAAACACCTGCCCTCCAGTTTATATTGACAACAATCAAATTCCTCAAACGGACACGGTACTTTATCTTGGACTCACCTTCGACAGAAGGATAACATGGGGCCCACATGTTAAAATGAAACGTATGACACTTAACAAACGACTCAAACTACTTTACTCTCTTTTTGCCAAATCTTCAAAAGTAAAACTAAAACAGAAACTGAATACATATACATACTTACTTAAACCCATATGGACGTATTCATCACAAATATACGGTATCGCAAAAAAGACCCACCTACAAAAACTTCAAACGTTCCAATCAAAATTATTGCGACTCATAACAAAAGCACCTTGGTACGTGACTAACAAAACTCTACATACTGAACTCCACTTTCCAACAGTTGACCAACATATAACGGCCCTTTATCAATGATTTTACACAAATTTAAATGGACATAATTAATGGACTTATAAGAGAAATGGCCACAGTTGGCATGCCTCAGAACATGAGAAGGAGACTAAAAAGGCGTTGGATGAGAGATCTCCTTCCTTAGACAATCTAAGTAATTGGAACAAGTTAGGGAAGAGGTAATGCTGAGTACTTTCCTTCCCCATGCCTGTCATGACATTTATCATATACCGCCATCACATTTGCTGATTGTCAACAATAACTTGACAGACGCAAATATATGTTTTAATAGACAAAAAAAAATTTAATATGTGCATTGCAATATTAGTTAAGATTCATGTACCATCAATCACTATAGTTTATTATTTACCTCTGATTGAATTTTTAAAAATATTTTCAGCCCTGAAAATGACTCACACGTTTGGGTTGGAACGTTGGGATAAATAAATCTTTTTTTTTTAAAAAAAAGACTGCGTCCTGATTATTTATCACCCATAATATAGTAAATTTGTATTCGGTGTCCTTGATAATTTTTATTATAAATTTTGAATCGAATTTGGATTCAGTATCTTTGACTACTCCCTGGCAGGGGAAAATATCAAGACATATGTTAACAAAAAAGCATTCCAAAATTGATGGAGATGGAAAGGAACATCCTTCCAATTTAGCTTATTAAAATAATTTTGGAATTACTAATGGAAGAAAGGAGGAAAATGAAGAACAAAGGTGAAATGGAAAGATGAGGCGGAAGAAAACGTGATAGGAGGGACGGACAGGAAAATATTTTTGGAAGATATTAAGGTCGAGGTCGAGAGAGGAATAACAACTTCAACAGAAAATTCTTTTAAAACCCAAGACATGCTCCTTCCTTACTCCAAGAAAAATAAAATTCTACTGCCACACGTGCCACTTAGCAGCTATCCTTAAACTACAGTAACATGGAAATAAATTGAAAAGCAGGTAAGAAATAAAACAAAAGTGGCAACTAATGCTCAGAAGGTAAACAAATCTCTAAGCTTATGCAATTACATGATATAAAATTTACATAATAAATATCTATTCAGTTGCAGTCAAGGTGAGTTAACTATCGATTATTTCCTCGTTCTGTCGCCGTACAAGTTATCCTCATTCCGACGCAGCACATAACAAATCTACTGTTTATATATTTAGTTAGGTGAAACCCTAACTAAAGATAATAAAAGGATAAAGCTTAACTAAAAAATATGAAAAAAAAAGGAATAGTATTATATAATAGAAATAATTAGTCCGTAGTACAGACAGTTTTTTATCAAATTATTAACATCCTCCTGAAACTTCGTAAATAGTTTCATCTTATCGTAACCTACAAATATTTTATTTGCGAAAACTCTTAGAATTAAGGCGTTTTCAATCCGGAAGGGGGCAAACTTTGCCTATTTAATTAGGAACTAAAATCTCGTAAATACCTATTTGCTTTTCACCTGAATCGTAAGATAATTTTTTTTTATTTCTTTATGACATTTACAACTGTATTACATAAATACATCAAGTAAATTTGGACATATTTGATATAATGACATGAATACACTTGCTAAGTAACTACCCAATGGTAGCACTCTAATGATATGACTACATTAGGAGATCACGGGGCCATCTTCTTTTCAGCCGCCTCGGAGGGTTATCAGGAATTGAAGAGGAAGCAAGGTTAGAAACGAGAGGGTTGGGATGATTCTGAAGTTTATTATGGAAGGACAGGTATCTGGATTAAGCTAAATCGGAAACATATGGTACATTAAGGTCATTATGGATGATTTTATTTGTGACAAAGTAGGGAGCATTAAGGATTTTACGAAGGATTTTGGATTGTAGGGATTGGATACGAGAGGAATTTGATGGTTTAGTAGAGCCCCAATGCTCGATCCCGTAAGTCCAAATAGGCCTTATTATAGTAATATATATGAGTCTTTTGTAAATAGTTGGCAGTTTAGAGCGTTTGTCTAGTAAGTGCTGGAGCAGTCGGAAACGTCGGGCGGTTTCTAATCGTTTCAGTCTGGTATATAATATATATATATATAACCTTGTTATTTTGACAATTAGAGCGTGACCTACACCTCTAATTGTCAAACGGCTCAATATTTTTTAAGGCCGCCTTTTTTGTCGATTTTGTGCTCATATTATCTTATGACTCAGGTGGAAAACAAATGGGGTTTTACGAGTAACTAAATAAATAGACAAAGTTTGCCCCCCTTCCAGATTGAAAACACCCCAATTCCGAATTTTTTCCAAATAAATTAGATTACGATGAGATGAAGTTATTTACGAGGTTTCAGACGGATACTAATAATTTGATAAAAAGGGATTTGTACCAAGGACTAAATGGACTGTTTAAAATTGAAACAATATAAAATCTGGACTAAGTATTAATTGCAATAAGCTAATAGGTAACAGCAAGGTTCTTGCGAAAGTCTTGTCCAAGACCAAGACTCGTCTAGGAAACACTACTCATAAATGACATAGCCACAACACATATGCCAGATAATGCCCGTAGAAGTTTGAAAAGGAGACGAATTGGGACCTCCTCGAATAACAATTAATGTAAGATATGAGGCCTAGAGGTGCTGCTAGGTATTATTCTTCCCCTCCCCACACCATTTTATCATGATCAACTAATTCACTTGTTGTTAATGTTATGTTGACATGTTTGAATAAAGATTAAAATTTATATATAAATAAAGATTTATAAAACTTACAAAAAATTTACTCGCAACTCTCGGAGCAACGTGCTTGAAAGTCCTGGGTGAGGAGTCAACGTTAGACAGTAACATAAAGCACACTGCTAAAAACATGTCACTTCTTCTGGCTGAAATGGTTACTCTGTTAACAGAGCTGCCTGTCCTGGATGTCTCGCCTAACGGTGTCCATAACGAATGTTTGTCCACACGATTAGGAGATCTAGACGTCTAATGTGTGACTTCTAACTTAACAAGTTAAATATACAGAGTGGCTCAGTTCTTAATTGTCAAGCTCTGGGAAGATGATTCTAAACAAAAATTTTACTTGATGCACGGGCCGATTCACACAGAAAAGGAGTTAAAATACCAAAGCGGATCCAGGATTTGATTTTGGGAGATGGCTTCAGCTCAAAGGATTTATATATATATATATATACATATATATAACGATAATTAATTTGAAAAAAAAATAAAGAAACTACTGATTCTTCGTTTTACTGATTCTTGAAGTCCTATTAAATGTAATTACACGAACAATGATAGTTTGAGAGACAGTTTTTTATATTTTTTCCTGTAATACATGGTTATATTTTACCGTTTTGGGGAGATCTTCAGCCTGAAAGCCCCTCCCCCCCCCCTCTCCGCCTGTGAGACGAATGTTGCGTGATTTCTTAAGGTAGTCACAGTTTTTATTTAATAAGAAGGACCGTTCAAAAACCGTTCAACATAATTAAATTACGAGTATACAAAGTAATGAAGACAATTTAAAAAAAAAAAAGAGTGATTAAATTTACAAAGATCAATAATAAAAATGTACTTTCGGTAGGTCTAATACAACCGCTGTACAGAGACTTGCTGCTTGTGTATGGCTGCTGCAACTGCAGCAGTACAAAGTACAGGATATTAGACCTTCTGAAAGTTTCTCTTATCATTGGCCTTAGTAAATTTAATCACTCCTTCTTTAAAAAAAAAATTATTTACTTTATAATGGTATACTTAGAATTAAATTATCTTGAATAGTTTTTGAGCAATTCCTTCTTATTTAATAAAAAAAAAAACCCAACTACCTTATGGAAAACACAAAATTGGTCTTAACTCTGTTCGCAATCGGCCAGTGCAATAAATGATTTTTTTATTTTTTTTTTTGGAATTTTGCACAGAATGACCGAATGACAGAATATAATACAATTATTAATAGAATAGTAAATCTTCTTTTATTGATATACAATTATATAATAGAAAATGAACTTTATTCTGGGACGAAGTCCCTTAGGAATGACAATTATGAACAAAAAATAAATCTGGCTAAAAATTACATTAATCAGAATTAAAGAATATATACAATATTTACATTGGAAGTATATTAAAAACAATAAAAAAGTAACACCATTTTGAGAAAAAAAAACATTATTCAACTGAAAAAAAACAAAACAGAAATCAGGTAAAATAAAAAACAAAACGTTATAAGCACAATGGTTTTATTCTTAAAATTAAAGCTCGAACAATTTCAACAACGATTCAGCTCATTCAAAATTTGATTCATAATATTTATTTCATTGTTCAAAGTCATTGTGGGATGTGAGAAGGAATTGGTAGAGATGATATTTGAATGAGGACAAGGAAGAGGCATAGCGGATATCAGATGGCAAATAATTCAAGAAGTTTTTTTTTTTTTTTTTTTTTTTTCTTACCCTCCAAAATATTTATTGAAACAAATTACATATACAGTACAATAATACAATATATACATGTAACAAATTCCTTCCACTGCCCGAGGGCATTTTAAGGATTGGGGATAGCTAAGGGTTACATATGTGGCAGAAGGCCTTGTGACATTCATTGAACGGGGAAGGACCGTTCTGCTAATTTTTTATTATTTACAATATATACAAATTAATGAGTTTGGACCACAGAGACCAGACCACATCCTTCGGCGATATATCCACCAAAGGGAGTTTACCTTGCCACCTCCCAGGTCTGGGTGATGGTGAGATCTCATTGAACAGTGGGTTTGCACAGGCCTTCAGCCCATGAATTCAAGAAGGCAGTGGATCGGGCAATAAAGGAATATTCAAATGTCTTAGTTCTACGGGAAGGGATATAAAGGTCGGAAACACGGGATCTTGTTTTCTGGGAGTGGACCACGGGTTTGAACTGTAGAAGACTATAGATGTAGGAAGAGTGTCAATTCTTGTGGCAATGGAATTCATTTGGAATATAGATAACTTTGTTGTAATTTCTGAGTGAGAGCTCAATTGGCACAAATTTGTTAAAACCTTTTCAAATCAAGGCCACGAGGTATAGCTAGATATTTGAAGATTAAAGAAAATAAAAAAAAAAATAATTGATAATATAATTTGAAAGTATTTTATGTATCTTTTCACACTTATTTGTTTACCTTTTGGTCAATTTAATTAATAATCAAATTTCATTGAAAAATGTAAAATATTTTATATATATTATTTTTAGAGTATAATTGAAAGTTATTCAAAACACGGCCTTAAGTCTCTAATTTAATCAATAAACATCTAATAAAATAACTTTTAGTATATATTATATATAATATATATATTTTTAGCCAAAAAATAGATATTATAAAGATAAGACAAACAGAGTATGACCACATACATGCAGATAAAATATCACCACCGATCACGTCGACAGTCTAAAATAAACATCAACTGGAGACATTACATCATTCCAAGACATTGGTATCTGACAAGTAGTTTTTTATAAACTCAGTAATCTACGACTAAGTCTGTAAGTCACATAAAAAAATAAGACTATTCTTCAGTTAAAATAAAACGAAAGATCCTTAGAAGTAGATACAAAGGCAGCATGGAAAAATCATTTTAGGAAAAAAGATATTTAGTTAAAAATTGTACATAAAATAAATAATGAAATTTGTTTCTTCGATAATAATAACAGTCCCTGATACAGATCACTTTTTATCAACTTATTAGCATCCGCCTGGAAATTCTTGAATAGCTCAATCTCATCGTATTCTATAAATATTTTATTTACTAAAACTGTTGGAATTGGTGCGTTTTCAATCTGTAGATCGGCAAACTTTTTCTATTTAATAATGGATACTAAATACCTATTTGCTTTCCATTTGATTGTAAGATGATTTGATCACAAAATTGAAAAAAAGGTGGCTTACAAAGATTGGCCTATATAACCTCGTTATTTTGACATGTTAGGAGGAGTAGGTCATGCTAAAAGACCCAATATTTTTGAAGGTGACATTTTTTCTCAATTGTATGATGAAATTATCTTACGATTTAAATAGAAAGCAAATTGGTATTTACGAGTTTTTAGTACCTAAATTAAGTATACAAAGTTTGCTGATTTACAGATTGATAACACTCCAATTCTGAGAATTTTCGTAAATAAGATAGTTATAGGTTACGATGAGATGATGCTATTTACGAAGCTTCAGGCAGATGTTAATAATTTGATAAAACAAAGTATCTGTACCACGGACTGAATGTATTTGAAGAAGAAAAATAAATAAAACATACGTATGAGTTTTATTACAAATACAATACAAAGTCATTAAAGTCTTTCAATATATTTATAACAATGTTTCACATAATTATGTTTTCCAATAATATACATAAACATACACATACCACTGAAGTACATTTACAAAAATAATTCTCAGATCAAAAAGCAGTATTGAATTATTTTATTGTTGTAGCCTCATTATAATATGAGGAAAAGAACAAATCATTTTTTTCTTTTTTTTTTTTTGTAAAATCATTATTTTAACCTCAATGATAATAATTACTGAGAGCGGGAAGAATTTTAACACACTTTACAGAAGTGTATTGCAGGTTAGTATTTGCGCCGTTTTAGGTAAATAAATGTATGTACTTTATAAGAGTTCTATTATTTTGAAAAATATAATAATTGCTTATAATGTATACCTGGTCTGAAAAAAAAGTATTTGGAATATAAAATATCAAAAGTGACCAATGATTAAGAGAAAATAGATCGTTTTAAATACTTTATTGTTTCAAGAATTCTTTTGTGTACTAGTACAGTATTCCTAGACAATTTCATGACTCGAAAAAACAAAACAAAATGGGAGCTAATACACAGAACTGAAAGTTTATTTAAACAATTGTAATATTAATAAATATTTTAATATAGTTGGTTACGACTTTATTCTATTTATAATAACAAAACAACACATTTGATCCTTAACTCTCCTTTAAAAATTTTAAGAAATAATAAAAAAAATCACCGACTTATTATATATTACAATAATTACTTTCATGACAATAGTTTCTATTATCTCATTATTAATTTATATATCCTATTGTCTTATGTCTTACTGCCTTCAAGAAATTATGTACGGTACCTCGGACTCTACTTAGACAAAAGACTTACCTGAAACATACATACTAAATATTAAAACTGGTCCTAATATTCCAACTCTGTTCCTGCATGATAATCCCATTAAATTTTATCACACAGTCGAAAACCTAGAAATGACCTTTGATCAAACGCTTTCCTGAAAAAACATGTATCCCTTTTTTCCCGCCGTACCATTTCCACCCTAAAATGTCTAAATTATTCTCGTCACCTAATTCTCTTTGAAACCCGTTGGCTCCTAGTAACTTCCTTCATTTTTCCCCACTTTGACTATTGCTATACGGTATATGAGGGCATCTCTGGAGATTGCAGGTTGCAAATGGCTTAAAATGTTAAATAAATATTAGTTATTATTTAGATAATTTATTTTAAATATAAAAACTTTTGAGTTCATTTCTGCATGTCACATTTTTGTTTATATAATGCTTAATTAAACCTTCCTTATAAAGGTTTGTATATTAAATTTTTATAAGGTATATCAGATTTTTTTTCTCCATTAAAATAGTACAAGAAAGAAATAAATAAATAAGACTTGAGTATCACATATGTTTCTTTATTATTAGAAAGTCTGCTAATAATCCATTTTGTCTCATTATTTGTCGGATCGCAATAAAAATGTACATTACACAGTTTTGTGCGTTGAATCTGATTTTGAATTAATCACTTCTTTTTTTTTGTCTTAAAAATGTATTTGCGCCTGTCAACTTATATATTTATATATATACTTATATATTTATTAATTAAATTAATAAATAATAGAAACGTAGTCAAGAAGCCCTTGGCCGTACGGGCAATCGTAATGGTCACATCCTGTTTCGGATTGCCCTGATTTCCACGCTGCCATGTATGTACTGTTTTCATTCATATCTGGCCTATAAAATAAACATAGAAATATAAATATACTGAATAAATCATAATTTCGATAAAATATAAATTATAACAAATATAACAAAATAAAATAAAATATAACAAATATTGAACTGAAAATAATTTGGTTGAAGTTATAAGATCGTATGTCAATTCTGAACTTCTTGGAGTGATAAATCCCAATCTGAATATAAACTTTGAGAGAAATGATTATTTTTTATTTTTTTTAATCCCTCCCAGCTTAAAAACACTACATTTGATACTTATAGTATTGTTAACAAGCTGAATACTAAATATTTTGTTATTTCAGTTTTAGAACTAAACCAACTTTTCTACCTGTATCATAACCATATACATAAAATAAAATGTATTTTAGAAACTTAGGAAGATAAATAATTTATAATAACTAAATGTTTTAGACCTACAACGCATTTAAAAAAAAAGTTTCATCAAAATCAATAATATCGCTGCTATTAATGCAAAAGACCGTATGTAAAAATTTTCCATTTTTAATCTATTTGTACTAAAGTTGACATTTTGTAGTATGAAACTGCTATAAGCAGTCTGCTACTATGAAAAATAGCAGAAGGAAATAAAATATTAAATTATACTAATAAATCATTTTTTATTATTATTGAAATTTACAACTGTATTAAATGATAAATACAACAAGTAAATATGAAATAAGTAACATGGACAACATGAAACAATTTTTAACACTCCAATTATATTAAAAGAACACGAGGCCATCTTCTTTACAGATGCCTCAGAGGCATCAGGAATAGAAGAGGAAGCAAGGTTGGAAACAAGAGGGTTCGGATGGTTCAAAAGTTTATTATGGAAGGATAGGTATCTGGATTGAGCTAAATCAGAAACATATGGTACCTTAAGGTCGTTATGGATGATTTTATTTGTGACATGGTAGAGAACATTGAGGATTTTACGAATGATTTTGGATTGTAGGGATTGGATACGAGAGGAATTTGATGGTGTATTAGAGCCCCAAAACTCGATCCCGTATGTCCAAATAGGCCTTATTATAGTAATATGTATGAGTCTTATGTAAATAGTTGGAAGTTTAGAGCGTTTGTCTAGTAAGTGTTGGAGCAGTCGGAAACGTCGGGGGGTTTCTAGTCGTTTTAGTCTGGTATAGAGGTTTAATAAATCATAAGAAAATAATCAGTGGTATTGTATTTATAATAAAAATGCTCGCTTGTAAAGTACTCAATTTTTACATACGATCTATTGCACTAACAGGAGTGATATGGTATACTCTTTTTGTTAATACATTGGTAAATTAAATTAAAAAATAAATAAAAACTTCAATTACGTGAATATTGTCTGCAAAAGTTCTCCGACGAGACCGCTACTGTCAATTGGAGTTTCGCTTATTTCACAAATAAATTTCAAAATACAGTCAGACTTGCCACCAATCCTGTAACAAACATTTTTTTAATGAAAAGCAATCTTATTTTGGTTGCTCATTTTTTTTTTTAGATTTTTATTTAATTATTACATGTAATCACTATTTAGCTCGCAGCTCTTGTTCCGGAACTTAAAAATTAGACTCTATAAAACCATTATCTTACCTACACTTCTTTGTGGATGCGAAACGTGGCTGCTTTCATTAAGGGATGATAAACGTCTTAAGGTTTTTGAAAATAAAGTATTGCGTAAAATATTCGGACAGAAGAAGGATGAATTAACCGCAAAGTTCAGACGGTTACACAACGCCGAATTGCCTGAACTGTATCCGGGTAATATAATTGAGGTGATTTCATCCCAGCGAATGAAATGGACTTGTAAACTTGTTGGGCTTAGTAAAGAGAGAATTCCTAAAAGTTTAAAATTTGCTGTACCGAATGGTAAACGTACGAGGGGTAGACGAAAGCGAAGGTTGGAATATTGCATTAAAGCCGATCTGAAGGGACTAGCTTTGGACGGCGAACGGTGGAGGGAGGTGTGTAATAAGTGAATGGTGGTGTCGGCATCGAACCTTTGGGTACGCTAAGCCTTATATTATTTATTACATGAGATCAATAAACGGTTAACGTTATTCAAAACACCACATTTCTTACAAATTTTATTTCATCAATAAAAAATCATTTAAACAAGATTTCATTTTCATTTTGTTATGACATTTCATTTTATTATGCTTTTCAAATGTTCTGAATGCTATAAAAATTCATTAAAAAATTACTAATATTAAACCAGCCTTAGCAGGAGTGCCTCAGGAGTCAGTACTCGCTCCTCTGTAGTATACCATTTACACATATGATATTCCAGATCCTGTCGATACTCTGACCGTGACTTACGCAGCAGACGATACAACAATCTTGACAAGACATAAAAATTCAACATACGCCTCACAGACTCTGCAATATCACCTAAACAATTTGTACGACTGGTGCAAACTCTGGAAAATTTGACTCAACCAAGACAAATCACTACATATCACTTTTACCCTTCGACGTGAAACTTGCCCTGCTATTTACCTTGACAATATCCAAATTCCTCAGACAGACAAAGTTCAATATCTTGGACTGGCCTTTGAAAGAATAATGACATGGGGCCCATATATCAAAAACAAAACTCTAAACCTAAGACTACGATTATTGTACTCACTCTTTGCAAGACATTCGAAATTAAAATAGACAGAAATTGAATGCGTACACTTACCTACTTATGCCGATTTGGTACGCTTCACCGATATACGGGACAGCCAAAAAGACTCACATACGAAAACTACAGACTTTCAATCTAAAACTTTCAGGACTATCACCAAAGCTCCCTGGTACGTCAGTAACATTACTCTACATAAAGACTTACAGATGCCAACAGTTAACGACCACATACAAAAAAAATCATAGTAACTTACACGGACATACCAACTCATTGATTCGAGGTAAGGCTACAACTAACATGCCCGATAGCACCCGAAGGAGGCTTAAAAGAAGCTGGATGAGGGATCTCCTCCACTAACTATAAATAATACATTCAAGGCAGGACGCCGTTGGGAACTCCTCTCTCTCACGCCTATTCCAAGACATATTAACCTTCTACATCTTGACATCACACTCGCTGATTGTCGAAACTTCTGGCAGGTGTGAGTTTAAAAATTAAGTTAATAAAAAAAAATACTATGGACTCTCGATAATACGAAATCCAAGGAAACTTCAAATTATCGAAATTTCTAATTATGAAGAAGTTTGCATTTGTGAAAAGGAAATAAAAAAAAATGGAATCATTTGGAACCATAACTGGTGCGTGCAGCCTACGTATCTACGGCACAACTAGTTATAATCATTATTAAATAATATATGTTTTAAAAATGATTAATAATAGTACAGTCATTAAATAAAAATAAATAATAAATGATATCAATAGCTATTTAAAGTCATATCATGCAGAAGATCGGAAGGATAATAGCAATCCTATTTAAAAGTACCAATATTGGACAGAATATATTAGGTTTACTACGGAGTAGTTTTTATACTATCAGATAATGGCAAACAAGGTATTTGAGAACTGGTTTACCTTGAAGAGAGTGCGTGGAGGTGAGCAAACAGCTGGTGTCTGCTGAACGAGAGGCTTCGAAGGATTCCTTGCTGCATGAGGTAGGTCCATTCGGTGGCGTTGTCGATGGCCATGTATTGGAACTGGAAGTTGTGAGCGAATATCAGGCTCATCGGTACTGGTACCGGTACTGCGAACCCGATGATGAACTGAAAACAGTGAAGTAGCAAAGATTTCCAACTACAACTGAGCTAACCATGGGTTGAAACTATAAAGAAACATTTTCAAAAAAGTTCCATTTCAGATTCTGTGAAACTTTTTCGAAAAAAATATAAATAATATTTTAAAATAAAAGTTCCAAGAATTTTTTTTTTAAATAAAGTTCTAGGCTTTTAATAAAATTTAAAATTTTGTATATTTTATTAATAATAATAATAATAATGAAAGTCTTAGCGAACCCGAAGGTTCGATGCCGACACCACCAATCGCTTGTTACACACCTCCCTCCACCGTTCGCCGTCCAAACCCAGTCCCTTCAGATCGGCTTTAACGCAATCTTCTCACCTTCGGTTCGGACTACCCCTCATTCGGTACAGCAAATATTAACTTTTTTGGAATTTTTCGTTGCTAACCTCCGCAATTTTACAAGCCTATTTGATTCGCCTCGATGTAATCACCTCATGTATATTAACCGGATATACTTCACGCAATTCGGCACTGTGTAACCATCTGAACTCTCTGGTTAACTCATCCTTCTTCGGTCCGGATATTCTAATCAATACTTTATTTTCAAAAACGTTAACACGTTGCTCATCCCTTAATGTAAGTGGCCCCGTTTCACATCTATAAAGAACTGTAGGTAAGATAATGCTTTTATATATTCTAGTTTTTGAGTTCCGGGATAAGAGGCGCGAGCTAAGTAGTCACAGATATATATTTTATTACTTTAAAAAAATTATAATCCACGGTATAGGCCCCTTTTTATCAAATTAAAGGTTAATTCCGCCTAAAAGTTCATCTCATCGCAAATCTATAAATATTTTTACGAAAATTCTCGGAATTGGGGTGCAGATAGGCAAACTTTGTATAATTAATTAGGTACTAAAAACTCGTAAATACCCATTTACTTTTCACTTCAATTGTAAGATAATTTGAGAAAAAAATCGGAAAAAAAAGGAACTTAAGGTTTTTGTGACTCACGCCAAACGGACCAATATTTTTATAGGTTAACTTTTCGGATTTTGATCATGTTATCTTACCATTCAAGTGTAAAACAAATGAGTGTTCATGAATTTTTAGTACCTAATTAAATAGACAAAGTTTGCCGATCTACAGATGGAAAACGCCCCAAATCATATTTATTTTCTCGAAAATTTATCTGAGAAAAGGTTTAAATACGATATCTTAGATAAATTAAAGCAATGTCTACCGGCCTGTGGAAGATCATCGTAAAAAAATCAATACACTCTAATATTGTTAATCAAAAACTTTTTTACCTTAGCCCAATTTTTTCTAACAATAATTTCTGTCAAAAGTCGAGAAAAAACTTGTGTGATGCAGACAACAGATTTTTTACTTTTACTTACTTTTTTTTTCTCTCGTTCACCGCTTAGATTCGTATTCTTAAATACGAAATTGAATAGCTGTAACATCGTTACTCGTTGTCCGAAAGGAACGATTTTTACATAGTTTTGTAGGGAATTTCGTTAACTTTCCACACGCTAACTATGTTTATGTTCGAAGAGGGCACTGAAACGTATTGATCCGTCGAAAACCGCATGTCGGAAATTTGACCCAGTCGCAATACTTTCCTTACCCTAGTACAGGCCGAGAAGTAATTAATTAAAAATTTGTAGAAAGTAAAATATGCTGTATCATCGCTTATACTGATTCGATTCCGTTTATTTATTTTATTTTTTTGTAATTTAATTACCTTTCAAAAGTTTTATTACAGATTTTACCATATATGCTATATATATATATATATATATATATATATATATATATATATACATATTTTACCAGCTATATATATGCTATATACAGCTATATATATGCTATATATATATATATATATATTTATATATATACATATATATATATATATATATATATATATATATATATATACATAAATTTATATATTTTATATATATATATATGTATATATATATATATATACATATATATATATATATATATATATATATATATATATATATATATGCTTAGTGAGTTAGGCCCCAAAAAATTGTTCTTTTCTTTATAACTTTTTTTTACTGAATTTTCTCGAGAATTTAGTCCATATACGAAAATTGAAAGCACAGTTATTAGAACATTATAGGAAAGTTTCATCAAAATCGTTAGAGCCGTTTTTGTGCTACAGCCTATAGAAAAACATGTTTTTCATTTATTGTGCACCCATTATTGCGAATGGAGCACCCAAAATGTTATTTTCGGACTCTCAGGGGGCTCTGAAACGTATAGATCCGTCGAAAACCGCATGTCGGAAATTTGACCCGATCGCAATACTTTCCTTACCTAGTACAGATAGGAAAGTAATAATACCTGATTGGTTGTACAATCGCATAAATTAAAGCGCTAAATCGATTTTAAAAGAGCTTTACAATGGCTTTTGTTGGGATATTTCCAGTGAATTCTGACCTGCTGGTAAAATATGTTGATTAAAACACAACACTAGAAGAGAGAGTATTGTTGAACAAATGGTAAATGTTAACTACATTTGAGAAGGAAAACCTGCCTGGCGCTGTGATCAATAAAGGAAAACTGTGACCGACATTTTTACATTCACTCACGCATGTAAAATTATGTAAGTTATGGGAGAGTATTGCTATCGCGAAAGATTTCCAATCCGAGTTATTAAAGTTATACTGAATACAACTTTTAGATTTTAGCCTCGAATTGAGTCAAAACTGGAGGATTAAAGTAAACTCCATCAAATCACCTTTACCCTTCGTCGTCAAACAATGACTTCCTGGCCTAATGTACCCTTTAACAATATCCCAATTATCCCTGTAGATAAATCAGAAACCTAGGATTCCAATTGCACAAACGTCTCACTTGGAATCCTCATACAACTAACAAAATAAATAAAATGACAAAAAAACGTTCGACGTTTCCGCTTACTCCAACACTTTTTTTTATTTATTTATTCAGATAAATTACAATCTCTCACAATCAAGCACATTTATAGTAGTGTTCAGATAGCACATTCACACTCTATTTACAATAAATAAAAATAAATAATACATAAACTAATAATAATAAAAGTAAATGTATATTAACAAAAGAACTAAACTAACCAAAATAACAACTAAAACACATGCATACTACACAATATTTTCAGAATCCATTCACTAAACAGAATTCCGAGCCAAGCCATTCTCCCCACTCGTGGAAGGAAAAGAAGGACTCTAGGAGATCCCAACGCCTCGCTTTGAGCTGCATTACTGGTATTAAGAACCAGTCCCACTTATCCCTGTTGAACAAATCCGATACCTTGGACTTCACTTGGACAAACGTCTAACATGGAATCCTCATACCAGACTGAAACGACTAGAAACCGCAAGACGTTTCCGACTACTCCAACACTTACAAGACAAACGCTTTAAACATCCCATTAATTACAAAAGACTCATATACTTGACTATAATAAGACCTATTTGGACTTACGGAGTTGAGCTATGGGGCTCCACTAAACCATCGAATTCCTCTCGCATCCAATCCTTAAAATCCTTCGTAAAATCCTCAATGCTCCTTACTTTGTCACTAATAAAATAATCCATAAAGATCTCAATGTTCCATATGTTTCCGATTTGGCCAAATCCAGATACCTATCCTTCCATAATAAACTTCATAACCATCCAAATCCTCTTGTTTCTAACCTTGCTTCCTCTTCGATTCCTGATAACCTTCCGAGGCGTCTGAAAAGAAGATGGCCTCGTGATTTTCTCATGTAGACAAATTATTAGAGTGCTACCTGTGGGAAGTTTCTCAACAAGCGTGTTCCATGTGATAATATTTCTCTGTACACATTTACTTGATGTATTCATACTAATACAGTTGTAAATATCATAATAAAAGCTTAAAAAATAAAAATAAAAATAACCAGTAGAGGCTGAGGATAGGCGCTATAATCATACATACTTGGCTTGAGTGGGGGATCTGGCCATTGCCAAAACTTCAATGTATACTTATTCACAGAAGGTCTCTGGACCACTGCCGCTTCAACCTTCGAAGAGGGTTGGACCTTGTAAGGAGGGTGGTGCTGGATAGAGATTGTGCAAGAGGATTTGGATGATAGGTACGGTTCTGGTGAAATTTGGAAAAAATTTCTGGAATAAGGTCTAGGGCAAATGGGATATTAAGGTCATGGTGTAGGGTTTTGTTAGTTACATAGAACGGAGCATCAACTATTGTTCGAAGGATTTTATATTGAAAGGATTGGATAAGTTTGATGTTAGAAAATTTTTATGTCTCCCACAGTTCAAGTCCGCACGTCCATATAAGTTTCAGTATTGTCTTGTTGATAAGTAATTTGTTTTCAATTGAAAGCTTACATTCTCTATTTATTAGTCTGTATAGCTGGCCGTATCGTCGGTTGAGTTCTTGTCTTTTGGTCTAGTATGTGGGTTCCATGTTAGTCTTCGGTCTAAATGAAAGCCAAGATACCAGACTGTGTCTGAGAAGGACGCTGGATGGAATTAAAGTGTACTAATGGACAGGAATTGCGTCGGAGTGTAAAGGTAATATGTATTCCAACACTAACTAACTCTCTAAGCTTCCAATTAATCACAACAGATTCATATACGCGACTACAATAAAACCAAGTTGAATTTACGTAGTTAGTTCCGGAGCTCCACTAAACCATCGAATTCATTACTTTGTCACAAATAAAATCATACATTAAGACCTGTCATGTTCATAAGACCTATCAGTACTGTTAATGCAAAAGATCGTATGTACCTTTTTAGCATGTTTATTCTCTTTGTGCTACAGGTTACATTATGTAGTCTACAACTGCTATAAGTAGTCTCCTAAATAGGATAATATCAGAGTAAAATAAAATATAAGATTATACTCTTCTTAAAAAAAAAAATGTTTGTATACTTTACACTAACAGAAGCGATATGTTTTCAATTTGGCAATCCAAATACCAATTCCTCCATAATAAACTTCTAGTCTCACTTCCTCTTCGATCTCTGTAACCTCCGAGGCGTTTGAAAAGAAGATGGGCTCGTGATCTCCTAACGGTTAGTTTTTCAACAAGTGTTTTCATATTATTATATTCCCGTGTTCACATTTACTAGATGTATTTTAATTTTAATGAAGTTGTAAATATCATAAGTAAAAAAAAAGTTTAGCCTTTCTATGTGTTAAGTGTTTATATAGGAATAAATTTTAAATTTATGCAAGATAGATATGCAATTACCTTGAAAACTCCTCCGCCACTGGTATACACAAGGTACCTACCATCTTCTTTAGAACGGCATCCGAGGCACAAGAAGTGGACGAACAAGCCTGCTACAAATAATCTGTTCCTGGACATCGTTTTCCAAGAGGCTGTCCTGAAGTGAAGAGAACTTCTCAACTTTTTAGTCATTCGTTGTTAATTGGTCCCCCGTTAGCCTACATACGAGAGCTAACATTAAACTATAACGGACTTTAAATATGTAAATAATGATGTATTTCACCGAGGTTTCTCCCGATTCAGTTTCTGTTTAAATAAATTCATTTTATAGATTTAAATTATTTTATTTACTTAATGTATTTAATTTTTTAATACAGTTGTAAATATCATGAATAAATAAATAAATAAATAAAAATCCTTCAAAATTTGATTATTTTTTTTTTTTAACTTTAATATCTATGTTAAGGAAAGTATTGAGATTGGGTCAAATTTCCGATGTCCGGTTTTTGACTGATCTACACGTTTCAGAGCACCCTTTATTCTGTTGTTTTTTGTTATTTTTAAGTAATGAAATTTCGATCAAAATTATTTAAAAATCGTTCATTTCGGACAACTATTAACGAAGTTATAGCTCTTCAATTTCGTATGTATAATTCAGAGCACCCTTTATTCTGTTGTTTTTTGTTATTTTTAAGTAATTAAATTTCGGACAAAATTATTTAAAAGTCGTTCATTTCGGACAACTATTAACGATCCTTATCTATGTTAAGGAAAGTATTGAGATTGGGTCAAATTTCCGATGTCCGGTTTTTGACTGATCTACACGTTTCAGAGCACCCTTTATTCTGTTGTTTTTTGTTATTTTTAATTAATTAAATTTCGGACAAAATTATTTAAAAGTTGTTCATTTCAGACAACTATTAACGAAGTTATAGCTCTTCAATTTCGTATGTATAATTCAGAGCACCCTTTATTCTGTTGTTTTTTGTTATTTTTAAGTAATTAAATTTCGGACAAAATTATTTAAAAGTCGTTCATTTCGGACAACTATTAACGAAGTTATAGCTCTTCAATTTCGTATGTATAATTTCGAGTTTAAATCCTGTTGTTATAAACTTTCGAAAGAGAAAGAAAATGGAAAAGTAAGTGAAAATAAAAAAATCTGGTGCCCGCATTACACAACTTTCACTTTCCACTCTACTTTTACAGAAATTACTGTCTAACAAAATTAGACTATGAAACAAAAGTTCGGTATATTAAAGTGTATTGATTTTTTTAAGTCGATCTTCCACAAGACGGTTACTTCATTTGAATATATCAAAGAAGTCATAATCAAATATTTTCACTGATCAATTTTTAGGAAAATAAATCTAATTCAATTTGTTTTTTAATTGCAAGATGTATAAATTATTCTGAAATCGGTTGGAAAGTCGTGTGAGTGGACACATCAGATCTTTTTATTTCAGATATACATTTTATATTGGTCTCGGATAATGTTTCCTTCATTGTCAGACATTTTTGAAGTTATTACCTCTTTAGGTACACGTCAAGCTCGGTCTCGAGCAGATCTACGTGGGGGGGGGAGTACTTTAGGGCTAAAGCTTCCTCCTCCCCCCCAAAAAAATTAAATCCTGTATCCGTTAGTGATCTAGGAAAATCCATACTTTTTGAATTATTATTCGTAAATAAAGTTTCTTTTCCTTCATTGCTTTTGTTCTTAGAAATTTCGGGGGGATAGAACTATTTTTCGCATGTGAAGGAGAAGAATATCTTCAAAATGATTGGTTAATCAATGGATTTGATAAAGAATTTACGGAGTTATGGCGTACCCACAAAAAAAAACCTTTTAGAAATAATATATAAGATAAAATTCAATGATATATGTTTATGTATAAAATATTTATTAATAAGCTGTATTTTATTATAACATAATTTCAATAAAATTTAAAGTTCTCATCAAAAAATTTTAGCAATGCTGAGTCGCATTCTTGATTATAGTTAACGCAATCTTCATTTGAGGGTCGAGTATCCCTTTTCCGACGTTTGAAGAACCTCTGGTTGTCCTCGTCATCGAAAATTGAGCTGAAAAAAAAACATATTCAAGTTAGCATTTATACTTTTATCAATTCCAAATAAGTTTTAAATTTAAAAAATGCATCAAATCATTACACAATGGTTTCTTATTTCCAAACAGTTACATATCAAATGTAACACTACTTTCCTTGTCACATAGAGGAAAATAAACAAACAATAATTCCTAATATTGGTCTAAATACTCTTTTCCTTTTATTAGTTATATGTTAGGGAGCTCGGGTAGCTCAGTGGGTGAGCATTGACTTCCAGAGTTCAAGATCCCAGGTTCGAATCTGGCTGATGACTGGTAATTTTTCATCAACCGTGGGTTGACCCTGGGGCCGGGAGACCCTCCTGGGACAAACCCAGGCTCTATAAAGTGGGTACCCTTGATAAAATAATTAATTAAGGGGAAAAACCTATCAATCGAGCGTGATGCTGGCCCGTTACCTCCCTACACAACTAGTGTTGCCCAAAATCGGTCTTGGTCTTGCACTTTGTAAGACCAAGACCAAGGCCGCCTAACTGTTGCAAGACCAAGACCAAGACTGGTAAAAACAATCGATTTTTAAAATACAAATTAAGGCAAAATAATTGCTAATGCTTGACAATCTTGGTTACTATATGTTAATAATTGGTATAACCAATATACTTTTGCATTTAACTCCTCTAATTTTTCATTCAGACTTAGTTAGGTGTCTCCTTTCTAAAACACTATAGTAATATCTCTATAGTAATAAGCTAATAAGTAATTGCAAGACTGTTGCGAGAGTCTTGAGCAAGACCAAGACCATGGCCAAGACTGACTTTGCAAGACCAAGACTTGTCTCGGTCTCGCATTTGGGCAGCACTATACACAACCGTTAGCCTTGTAACAGTACTTTCTCACACTATAATGAATCTATAACATAACTCTTTATGGGTTGTTCTTTCGAACAACCAAAAACCATAACAAAAGATGTCAGCTTTGAAACAGCAGAACATGTGGAAACTATTTAAAACAACATAGCTATCAAACAATTTTTTTTCAGTTATTTTTGAAAATTTGTATTCTTTTAAATAAGCATAACATCAACAAAAAAGTTGTGCTATTCGGAAATCTAATTTTCCAACCCTTCGTAATTTTTTTCCAGCTTCTTTTCTATAAAGTTATATAGATAAATTTAACGGGCTTTGAAGGAGATGAATTTAGCCAAGTTTCATTGAAATCGGTACATTCCTTTAGGCGCTACAGTCTATACGAAGCATGTCTTTCGGCCGCCATTTACAAAGGAAAGTACTTTTCGGTGAAGTATTTTCTATACATAAATTTAAAAGGTATTGAGGAGAACACTTTAGCCAAGTTTTATTGAAATCGGTCCATTCGTTTTGACGTTACAATCCATATAAACAGTGATTTTTCGGCCGCCATCTTGAAAAGATAGGACGGATTTTAATGTTGAGGTAGGAGGATCATCTTCGAGTAATATCTGATTTTGATTCCAAATAAAAAAAAAATATAAAAAAACGGTCCTGTAGTATCGGAGAAAAGTCGGACGGACAATTTTTTTTATTCATATCGTAAAACGTAAAACCACAAATTTTGAGGAAGGAAGTTAAATTTTTAAAATTTTTGGTCGATTACAATATAAAAAATAAAGGACAATTTCAACCCTTCCAGAGTTTTTCTGGTCAATATAAACTACGGCCGGACTTATTATTTTTATTTATGATAACAAAAAAATTGTAATTATTATAATACACTCACTCAACAAGTGCTTTGAAAAGATCACGAAAAAGACTCGTCTGATATCGACTGTTGTAGAGGATGCACAGGCTTCTTCCAAGGCAAGCTTCTCTGTTTTCAGATTTTCTGTAAATATTTTAGGAAACGTGCAATTAGAAAAATGATATGTTATGATATAATAAATAGAATTTAGCAAAAACATCAAACATGAAATCTAGGAAGATAATATTGCATAAAATTAAAATGTTTTACCAATAACTAGAAAGAAGAAACGAAGCAACGACATACAGAAAAGGAAGAAAGTAAGTCTATGTTTATATTTAAAATTAATATTAAGCCTAAGTGAACCAAAAGCGCTCTAACCCAACATTTGTGCCTGTTATTTAAGAGCGCTGATTAATTTTTCTGTTGGTACATAAGTATGCGCCCTCCCTCAAAAAAATTCTTGATCCGCCACTGTATATACTTATAGGTAAATAGAAGTAAAGATCACTTAATATGATGTATATATGCGAGACCTTCGGAGAGAGAGAGTTCACCGTGAAAGGCCTCTGGTTTGGGTCTCGCGAAACGATTCCTAACGATTCGATGAACTAGGTGTTGATGTCTTGGAGCTTGCAGTGTTGGCCGAGAGTATTATTCTAGACTCCCTTAGGATCATTCATCATCACATATTTGGTAATTAGGGGTAAACTGTGGATATTTATTATCATTTATTTATTTAATTTTAAATTATTTAACTAACAATATCTTTTTATCTGTGTTCATAGGATTATGATATTTGATACATTGCGTTCTAATTTTCTAATTTTGGCATTCGAATATATATTTTTTTTTTTTCTATAAATTTCAGAGATTGTTTTGTCCCGGGTTTACCGAAATATATATATTATATAATTGTAATTATGTTGGTGTGGTATAGTATTAATGTTGTATATGGTGAGCGATAAACAGAAAATATAAATTAAGGACCTCAAAATAAGAGAAAAAATTCCTAGGAAGGTATGTCAGCAAACGCTTTGTTTAGGAGATATTCACACTTAAAGATTTTCGTTGTCATGATTTATTTACATTATATTTTATTTATTTATTATAATATACATATTCTTGGCTTACAATAAATTTGCCATCTATCTCGGTATTCAGCAAATATGATATCAAGGAGAAGAAATGATAGCATAAAGAAAAAAAGAATAGTAATAACAAAAAAAAACAAAAACAGTAGTAAGATAACACATAATTATACACAAAAAAAAAACTTCAACGCAATAAGTCTCTTGGCCAGCGCCTCAGCAGTCTTCTGGGCGGATTATATAATATACATAATATTAAGTAAGTAAAACTTATTTATTTGTTCCAACTATTTTATTAATTAAACTTAAACATTAAATTCATATTAAATATTGTTCAAAATAAATTCCTTGAGCATTAAGACAGGCATCTTTCTTCAACAGCAGCAGTGGTAGAACGGCACTGCATATGTGTTATTGTTTCACAAGATTCAATTATCCTTCTTTTGGACCAGGCCAAGCCACTGGTTCTGCACTGCCAATCCATTAATTGGGATAATTAACATTTAGCCATAGTCGTAGACCTCTTCCGTAATGTGCAGGACAACCATCAATTTGAAGCCACATGTCTTCATATAGTTGAATATTCCAGGTTTTATTTATTTCATATAACGTAAATAATTCATAACAATCTTTAGGTGTGAATATATCCTAAACAAAGCGTTCACGGACATACGTTCAGAGGAAATATTTTTCTTTTTTTTGAGGTCGTTAGTTCATTTTTGGAGTTTGACCACTTAACCCTGAAACACCCTGTATATATAAATATGTGATTCAAGTATAATTAACCTGCCCTCCAGTTTATATTGACAACAATCAAATTCCTCAAACGGACACGGTACTTTACCTTGGACTCACCTTCGACAGAAGGATGACATGGGGTCCGCATGTTAAAATGAAACGTAAGACACTTAACAAACGACTCAAACTACTTTACTCTCTTTTTACTAAATCTTCAAAACTGAAACTAAAACAGAAACTGAATACATATATATATATACTTACTTAAGTCCATATGGACGTACAGCATCGCTAAAAAGAACCACCTACAAAAACCTCAAATGTTCAAATCAAAATTATTGCGGCTCCTAACAAAAACACCTTGGTACGTGACTAACAAAACTCTACATACGGACCTCCACTTTCCAACAGTTGACCAACATATAACGACCCTTTATCAACTATTTTACACATTTTTAAATGGGTATAATAACAGACTAATAAGAGACATAGCCACATCTGACACCCCAGAACATGAGGAGGAGACTAAAAAGGCGTTGGATGAGGGATCTCCTTCCTTAGACAACCTAAGTAATTGGAACAAGTTAGGGAAGAGGTACTCCTGAGTACTTTCCTTCCCCATGCCTGTCATGTCATTATTTCATGTATCGCCATCACATTTGCTGATTGTCAACAATAAGTTGACAGGCGCAAATACAACTTTTATAGACAAAAACAAAAGTATAATTAAGTGTTCTATCCAAAAAAATAAAAGGATTGATGATTATGGTGTGTATCGAGCAACCCTATATAGTAGAGCAGCACTGCTTTAAATAAAGTATTTCTCTCTCAGAAGGATAAATCCACTAAGTTTACTGTTGCTCCTAATGTTAGTTACTTACATATCCAACATGTCGGCAACCTGTTGGAGGAAGCTCCTGTGTTGGGAAGTGGACCTGAGGGAACGTTGGGGAAGCCTCAGCTCTGACACGTTGGTCGGGAGTTGGATGTTTATCAGGATTCCATGGTTTGTGGCGATGTTCCTTCCTCTCACGTCGGCTGGAAGTCCCAACCCCAGCGCAAACTGCAAATTAATTTAGCTATTAGAGTAAGTCTCGGTGATTGATACAACAGTTGATTCAAATAATTCTGACTAAGGAGTATTCACCGTAAGCCTAACGGTGGACCAACCCCCCTTTTACTAATTATACAACTGTTCATTTAATTGAACTACTCATCGCTCAAAATACTTTAAAGTATAATTAAGACATTTCGTTCATACTTTTCTGATTTCTATAAATGGGTGAAAAATGCAAGTTATCACAAAACTTTCCAAAAATGGTTATAAGTAACACTTAAAAAGGTACGCAAATATCTCTGACAAAAAAAAAAACGTCATGGAATACTGAGTAGGGGAGTTGACCCCAACATTCAATAAATAAATATGAAACTTGTCAGAAATTGTTTATTACCCTCCCTATAATATCTGGTTTATAATAACTGGTGAAAAGTCCTAAAGAACACCGCGTTGGGTTTTGATGGGGTTAGAAGTATAAGCACAGAAAAATGATTTTTTTTTTTTTTTTATGATTGTTTAGTATAATATTAAAGTTCTTTAAAATTTCTATAAAAATGATCCTATACATTGTTTCGAAAAAATCTATGGTAACGGAGATAAATGAGAGTGTCTCTATTTTAAGCAAAAATTGCTTCAAACCACATATTTGATGTTGTTCAAGTTTAGACTGACATTAATTTCTTATAATTCATAATATGTGGTAGAAGAAATTAAAACTTATAAAAAATTACCGTAAACTATGGTGTGATTACATACAGAGAATCAGAAAACTAAAATTTTGAATTTTTTAGGCCAAACACGTTTTATGTTAAATAAGAAGCGATAACTAAAACAATGTTTAATTTAGGTTACAACCAATCACTTCAGAGTAAGCTAAATTAAATTGAAAATACATTCATGTAAATCTTGTCTATTTTAGACCCATTTAAAGAGGACTTTCAAGCAGTTAAACTGCGGCAAGTTATATTTTTTATTAAATCAAGAATTCTTCGTGATTTTTTTTTTTACAAACTCTCAATTGGACTGAAGATACCACACTTTCAGAAAAACTCTCTATTATATATTAATTAAGAAGAGTATACATTATTTCTCATTGAAATAATTTACATACATGTATGGTAAAATTAGGGATCGACCCCAATATCTTTTAACTCAATTAGGGACGGGACTCAAGTTACTTTGTAACAAACTACAATTTAATTAATATTAACTTAAAGCTCATCAAATACGGAAGTTTTTCTGAAAGTGTGGTATCTTCAGTCCAGTTATGGGTTTATAACAAAAATCGCGAAGAATCCTTGATTTTATGAAAAATCGAACTTACCGTAGTTTAACTGATTCATTTTTTTTAAAAATGGTTTTAAAATAAACAACATTTATTGAAACTTAATGCAAACATTTATGTTATCTTTTTTTATATAGTAAAATAAAGATTTATGAATTTGTCTGAGGTATATCTACTACTCTAACCGACCCCATGTCCATTACTAGAACAATTGAATTTCGGGGTGTCCATCACTAGTAAATGAAGTTATTTTTTAAAAATGTAGATTATATCTGCATAACTGAATATTTTTTCAATTTTAAAGTGTTAAATAGAAAAAAAGAGATTCTAAATGCCCAACGGATAAGTTTATAACTATAATAATTACGCCGACCTAAGCAAAAAAAGACAATAATTTCGTTAGCTTTGTCCACCACTGGTGCGCTTTCCCAAAATAATAATCAAAAATTGCATTCAATAAATACACATAAAATAAATCATAAGATAAGTAAAGCAAAATAAAACAGACACAACTATTTAAATTATTTACTTAATACTACAAATATCCAATACTTTCAACTTTACCTGGATAATTCCGTTCTTGGGATACACCGGGGAAAGAAACCTCTTCGATATCCGATGACCTTTCCAATCCTCCAATTGCTTCGAATACGCCAAGCTACAGATCATCAAAAAGCTCACGGTTGCTACTGACATCGGAGCTGCTGGAACTGAACTGTGACGGTCCTAAATCTTGTTAACACTTTTCTTTCTGGGTCGCTGCGGCAAGGATGTTTGAGCAGCATTAGAAAGTGGATGTTTGCTGTCGATGTTTTGGCCGCATATATCATAAGGTATATGCCATATCGTGCTCAAAACCTAATTGTTTGTTTATAAGACTTCGGAATATCTTAATCATATATAATATAATTAATTAATCATATATAAAGGAACAATATAAAAGAACAAACCTATGAATAATAAAAAAAAATTAATTATGTTTAGGCTCCGTTTCTGACAATCCGCTTTTCCAAGACTGCGATATGAGGAACGGTATACTGATAAATTTATTACACTATACGTTTCTACCAGTTTAAAAGAAGAACTGATCTATTAAAATTTATTTTTTAATTAAAAAGGCTATTTATAACCACAATTTCTATATTATGGTATTCAACATTATAATGTGCCATTTAGTTTGAATAGGCATATTTTCATAAGGAATCATGTTTACCAATTTATTTATATTATATGGGTAGTATAAAGGTTAATCAGTTCCTGAATTGTAAAACATTTTTATTGATGATGACACTTCATTATCTTGAAAAGTGGTTTGAAAACTGGAAAATCAAAATAAAGAGTGAAAAATCCACCCACGCAAATTTCTCTCTTAGGAAAGCCTCATGTCCACCCATAACGATTGCCAATAATCCAGTGCCGTCAAAGAACTATGTATGGTAACTTGGACTTTACTTAGACAAAAGACTTACTTGGAATATACATACGAAATTAAAAAGACAAGAACTTATCAGACGATATAGCCAACTTTCACATCTTCTGGACTACAGATCTTTACTTAACTTACGAAACAAGCGACTGATCTACAACACCTTACTGAGAACAATATGGACATATGGAGCAGAACTTTAGGGTTCAGCAAAACAAACACATATAAACTAAATACAAACAGCACAATCAAAAAATTGTTAACGCACCTTGGTACATTTCAAATACTACTATACATAATAACTTAAACACCCCATCAGTAAAATCCTACATCCACGACAAATACACTACATTTCATTCTTCAACCCAAAATCACTCCAATCCTCTGGTTCTTTATATCTCCTGCTCCCTGTTACCTGAACAACGCAGATTCAAAAGAAAATGGCCAAGAGACCTACTATATCATTAAAAACCAAATAAAGCAAATACAGACTAGACAGTACAAACACAACAAATTTGCTAGATGCGCAGCCGTCCAGGTGCAAATTACATAAAATATAAATAAATAAATAAAATAAAATTTTTATTGAAGTGAAAACTTCTTTAGGCGTGTTTTGCACTTTTTTGTGGAGAGTGAATTAGATTGTTCCTTCAGATTTCCGAAATTTTGAAGCTCTACTTCTCTTTCCTCTATTTATAATATCTGCTGTGTCCAGCCACACGGCTTTCCTACCAATTTCTGACCAATTTCAATCAGTATATAAAATTCAATAAGCTGTAACTTTACTTATACCTGTCTGATTTAAATTATTCATTTTTTACTTTTGTATGGAATATAATAGCCTATCAAAATCGGTCCACCGATGAGATGAGAGAGATGATCATGGCACAAACGCATACATAAACATATTCATACCAATGGCAGACATTTTTTTTTTTTGAATTCAGTGAAATTGAAAACCAAAGATCCCTTGAAAACTTACCATCTGTTAACAAATTTTCTCCCCATTATAAGCCTTCCTTCCTTTACCTAGCGGTAGGAAAGTTATAATATCATAATAATAATAATAATAATAATAATAATAATGATGTAGAGATGGTTGACCGTTGTTATAATATGAGAAGGAGTTAGTCGAGGGTGCGGTCAAATAAATAAAAAAATTAAAATATATAATTTATTTTAATTTTTGTCGACGTTTCGACCTACTTTGCAGGTCGTCTTCAGGGCTACAAAAGATACAAACATGTTGAAAAAATAAAAATAAAATAAAAAATAAATATAAGTATATATAAAATACGAAGAAGTTGTCAGATACAGAAATAAAAGATAAAGAAAATAAATACATGATAAGAAAATAGATAAAAGAAAATAAATACATGAATGTTAACGAATAAATAGATTGAAAATTGAATTACTGTAACAATAGTTATTCAATTTTTTTATTTATTTGACCGCACCCTCGACTAACTCCTTCTCAAAATAATAATAATGCTTTATTTATTCTGGGACGATTCCCTTTAGAAGAATACAGAAAAACAAAAATGTGGGCTACGGAGCCTCAGAGATACATATGCAAAAATATAGAGTAAGTGAATAGACAAATTAAAAAAAAAAAAATAATAAAAGAAATTATAAGTTACTTTCTAATTTAAATCAGTTAATAATAACAAAAATGAAAAATTGAAAATAAACATAAAGTAAGAATAATGAGGAACGATCTAATAATTTACATACATATTTACAATACTATTTACAATTTCATGGGGACTGGATGGATAAGAAATGGTTGAACAGGCGGGTTTTAAAGGTAGGAAGAGTTTTGGATTGACGGATGACGGGAGGGATGGAGTTCCATAGGGATGAGGATCGGATAATGAAAGATCTGTCGAATTATACCCCCACTAACTTCCAATCTTTATCTAATTTCTCTTTGTTTAGTGAGTGGATCTGTTCTCCTATTTCTCCGAATTCCTACCTGAGGGTTCTAATCTCTTTGAAGTCTAGCATATATGTATATTTATCTCATGTTTACGGTTTACATACTGTTTAGGCAAATTTTCAAATTTAACTAAAGTAAAGGCAAATATAACTCTAACGAGTTCAATATAGGAAACATTCGACTTATTTCGACAGTGGTGGCTATGGTTATATTTTGATTTAAAGTGGCGGCTTATATGAATTTTTTAAAATAAAATTCACCCTTTTATTCTGGCATAGACATCGTGCTTAACTTAGAGGCCCCTCCAGTCTGCTCTACTTGTAAGGGTATTTCTCCCTTAGAATGGGCTGAGAGCGGCCGACTCAAATTTCTTATCTTTTAGATCTTATCTGACCTGTTTTCACTACTCGCCGCAAAGAAAAGCCTAATTGAGCCTGCTAATTGCCGAATTGGCACCACGAGTATTTCCCCATAGGAATACAATTACCTTCTCTTTGCTATATTTTGTATTATAACTCTTATTATTCAACCCTCCTTTTCTTTTGTAAACCCCTACCTACCGCCATTGCAGTGTTTGGGGTTCCCTTACTGAGCCTGGGCAGTAGGTCTATTGCTTGCATCTACCCAATTTGTCCTTATCTACCCAAGGGAAATAATCTATACCAAATAACTTGGAGATGTTTTATTATTAAAAATTATCTTCAGGTTGAAGGCCAAAAATTTAAATTTTTAATGACGATATAACTCAGAACAACACATCAAAAAATCAAAACTCTTATTTATTTTATAGTTTCCTTCGTTTCCTCGCTTATAGGAAAGTGATCTAAGATTGGTGAAGTTTTTCAACAAACTGTCGCCTAAACACTTGTTGGGTGGGTTGAAGCAAAAAAATGAATAATCTATACAAGTTTTTAGACCAGTTTTGATTTTTCCGAATTTTTATTATTCTTTGAAATCGGACTCTCATACAACGCTCGTCGCGAACTCCTAAGGACTACTTCTAAACTAACATCGGATGCGAGTAATAAGTTATGCTAACTAGTTATTCGACAAAACTTTTTTTTAACAGAAAAGTCCTTAAGTGAGATCTTTAAAATAATTTCGTCAGGCTACGATACTAACAACTCAGGAATTGGTAAATAATTGGTTTTGTATAATAAAGCATATATTTAAAAATATGTTTATTATCAATCAAAGTATAAAACATATAAGTTGAGAAAAAAAAATTAAAATATCTGAAATATAGACTTTGTTCGTTTCGTTTAGATATAAAATATTATATATTTCTTGGCATCATATCAAAGTTTCTCTTATAGGAAGAGAGTTCCGCATCAGTAATTCCTTTTGTCTACTTTCAGTGGTGCAAAGGCAACTCTCCTTTTCTCGATATCAAAAACGGTGTAGTAGTTGGAAAGGAACATTGTACCAAGTACCCAATCCGTTTCATAGTTTCCAGTAAATCCAAGCATACAGTAACCAGGGTGAGAAGAATTCTGTAACATATAAATTGTTATGTTTTTTTTTTTTCTAGTATACATATATGTAGCTAAATATAATAATGATAATAAAAAAAATAACATTATTCTGGGACAAAGTCCCGTGAGATTCACAAAATTTATAGATTACTTCTAGGAAAATACAAACTGACGACGACCAATTCGTCAAAAAACACTTATTTACAGAAATGAAACACAAATACCTCGGACACACAACCCTTTATACAGACGCCTCAAAAACAGATCGTGACGTAGGATGTGCAGTAATACTGAAAGACCAATGCCTCAAATTCAATTTGCTCCAAATAAACAGCGTCTTCACAGGCGAACTATTCGCCATATACCAGGCTTTGTTATTACTAACAGAAAAAAACCATATAAAATGGCCTTATAGTTACAGACTCTTTAAGCTCATTAATGGCCATTGCCGAAGGGAAAGCCGACAATGCCATTTCCAGGAAAATCAAAAACTGCCTCTGGGAAATGAAGGAGTCGTCGGACAGAGACATGGTCCTCGCATGGGCACCCTCACATTGTGGCATACCTGGGAACGAAGCTGCAGACAGAGCTGCGAACCTGGCAAGAAGAAAAACTAATGGAACCACAATGATCAATTTAACGACCACTGCTGACTGGAGATCGGAATACAAAAAAATCCTAAATGAAAAAATGGCAATTCAAGTGGAACCAATCTACGAATAAATTTCAAGAAATTAAAAAAGATACCAAACCGTGGACGACCTCTTTCAGAAATAACAGAAAAGAAGAAACAATTTTAAGTCGGCTTGGAATTGGACATGCAGCCTTTACCCACGGCTACCTAATGAGAAGCCTGGAGCCACCATTTTGTAAAACATGCAACACATCACTTATACTGAAACACATTGTAACAACTTGCAGACTATACTCTGACACCAGAACAAAACATAATATACCTTCCAACATATCTGAAGCACTTTCAGATGACGAAGAAAAGATACAAAAAGTATTTGAATTTATAAAAGACATTAAATTTGTACACCTAATTTGATTACATCTAAAGCCGCTAATGACCCGATCGGGTAGATGCGGAATGTAACAATAAATAAATAATAAAGATTACATCTGGCCTGCAAAACATTTAAAACTATGGCAAGGCACTTAAAACTATTTGTAGTATACACTTTTAAGAAACCAATAAAGAAAAAAAAGAGAGGTGCTCTATAAATTTCTATCTAATGCCATAATGAAAAAGCTCAACATTTATACTGAAAAGATTTTGGGTGAATATCGGCATCCGATATGAAAGGGGCACAACAGATCAAATTTTTGTCTTAAAACAAACTATAGTACAAACTATACTTTTCTATGAATATAATTTGGATCTTCACCTTCTATTTATAAACTATAAACAAGCATTCGGTAGTATGAAAAGAGCTGCTCAACTCAGCATCCTCTAAGAACATGTTATACCTGCCAAACTTATATGGCTAATAAAAATTACAATAAGAGATACTGTTGCCAAAGTTATGATTGGGAAGGCAAGGTGACGCATTATCAGCGTTTTAAGAATAGTAAATTTTTAAGCAAAGTAAATAATTTGCTATAATAAAATAAATACTAATAAGTAAACAGCAATATTTAAGAATAGTAAATAATTAATTTATATATTTTACTGATTTGTTGTTACCGTGAAAGTATAGTCCCATGGTTTCAAAGTGAACCTCTTTCCACTAATCATAATGGTCCAATCTGGAAGGCTGTCAACCCTGTCGCATTTTACCTTAAAAAATAATTATTCAATTACATTTAATAAATATAATGAGTTATTACTAAATTAAAGTTATTATTATAATTTATGTTTATTTATTCAGTAATATAACATTCTGTCACTCAATAACGTTCTTACCTTATATACAGAAAACATAAAATAAACGAAATCAAATTAACAACTAAATAATAAAAAAATCTGGTGCGCGGATCACATGAATTTCACTTAGCACCCTCTTCTTAGCAGAAATAATTATTTTGAAAAAAAGCAAAAGTAAAATTAAAAATTATTGATACTATATTATTAGTTCGTTATTATTATTATTATATCGTTCTTCATTATTTTTACTTCATTCTCTTTTTTTTCTTTTTTTTGTTTTTTATTATTAACTGATTAAAATTAGAAAGTAACTTATAATTTTTCATTTTTTTACTATGACTGTTTAATTCCTCTGTATTTTTATTTATGTATCTCTAAGGCTCCTTAGGCCATATTTAAGTCTTTCAGTATTATTCTAAAGGGACTCGTCCCAGAATAAATAAAGTATTATTATTTACTATTAATTGTGGGTATTTTTATTTCTTTAAATACTCTTATACATACAAATCTTATTTTTTATATCTCTGTATTCAATAACATTCAGTACAGAATCACCGACTCTATATTCTAGAATCACCGAAAATGCAGCAGAGATTCAGCAAACTAGAAAGAAGTAGCCCAAAATAGAAGAAGTGGAGAAGGATTGTTCAGCAGGGGCACACATCTACATGGTCAACATCAATCTTGTCTTTCTTAGCCCTGAAGTATATCTGAAACTTAGGCTGAAACGCTAACCCTCAACTAAGCTCCCAGCCGTACTGTCAACGGTCCACTATTTCTCCACCATTTTCTTTTTTTTTCAATGAGTAAAAATATGTTGTATTATTTTAATTATCATATTTTCGTTCCTAACACGTTTAAACGAACTAACAGTTTAAATTCTATTATTAAAACTTAATGATAGACTAGAATGAATCGCTAAAGATTCATGCTAATCACTTTGTAAAGTGTTAAGATCGTGCACAAAGACTCAACTTACGAAATGGTAACCATCTTCCAGTTCTTCGGCATTCAACTTGTTTATGTAAATCATCATCTCATTGATTGGTCCAGTAATCATCGTACTCCCAGTGTCTGCGATGGCATAGCAATTGTTGCAATATCCTTTTTCTTTACCGAAATACATCCTGCGGAAGAAAAACAAAATTAACTAAGGTAAATAAAAGTGATTCGTATAAATTTAAATCTTTCGACCCATTGGTTTATTTTATTTTCATTAAATATTATGGTAGTATAGATCCCTTTTTTTTTTTTCTTTCAGGAGCAATTGATGTTGATGAATGATGTATCAAACAATAAAGAATTTCATTCAAAAGTATCGAATGCGAAACTTTACACCTCACTAAAACTTCAATAAAAATCATTCAGTAAACTGGGAACTTCAGCCAAAAGTTCTCTCTCTCTCAATAGATCCGCCATTGGAAGCCACTATTGCCTAACACCCAAAAGATTTAAGAAGGTTACAGCCCAAATGAGGAATCGTCTTTGGCTGTATCAGAGAGCTGATTGGACACCGTGTCAAATTTAAAACAGTGAATATTTGTAACAAAGTTTAAGTTTAAGATGCTGCTAATGGACCTAGAAGGTAGAGAAAAAATGTATATGAATATACATTATTTGATAAAAATTTAGAGTTATTTTATAAGGGAAATTTCAATTATTTGTATGAAATGTTTACATGTTGAAATGTCCTAATTTTTATTTTTTTAAAATCTCTAAATTTTCCCTTATATTAATATTAGAATAGAAAAGAACATTACCGTTATTCCAATAATAAGTACCTTAAGCATAATAATATGCAAACAAATAGATTGAATACAATACTATCCAAAAACAATATAACCAAAGTTTAATTAGTACATTACAAAAAGTAAACATAGAACAATTTGATCATAAAATCAACGATTTTTCTATTTTCAATACTTTCTTACATAAACCCATATGGACATACTCATCACAAATATACGGGATCGCTAAAAAGACCCTTCTACAAAAACTTCAAACGTTTCAATCAAAATTATTGCGACTCATAACAAAAGCACCATGGTACGTGACTAACAAAACCCTACTACTGACCTCCATCTTCCAACAGTTGAACAACATATAACGACCCTATACCAACAATTTTATACTAATTTAAACGGACATTAATACGGATTAATAACAGACATGGTCATTGCTGACATACTCCATAACATAAGGAGGAGAATAAAAATGCATTGGTTGAGAGATCTCCTACCTTAAACAACATAAGTAATCGAAAATAGTCAAGGAAGAGGTGCTGGTGAGTACTTTCCTTCCCCATGCATGACATTTCATTTATATCTTGTATTTCCAGCACATTAGCTGATTGTTAACAAACAGTTGACATGCGCAAATAAATAAATTTTTATAGCACAAAAAAGAGTAAATTTGAATAAAATAGTATATATATATATATATATATATATATATATATATATATATATATATATATATATATATATATATTACAATAATATGTGAATGAAAAGAAAAAAAAAAAGTGAAAACTATGAATTGATCCTTAAGGTTAAATGTTATATATTGGCACTGTTATTCACTTATAATTAATATCTTACATTAAAATATCAAAATTGGAGAGCCACTGTTAAGGATATGAGAAAGTGATGGAAAAGAAGAAATTTGAATGAGGCTAGGAAAAAGACATAGTGCATTGTGACGGCAGCAGATTCCCGCCACTTACTACAAGGGACAACTAGTTCACTTGGCCGCTACCTAACAGCGCCACACAAGCTCGCTCTTGCGATGTCCCAAAAACTGTATTTTTTATTTCTTATTGTTATATGATAAAACACCAAAATTTTAAATTGAAATATGTATATACATTGTAAATATTTTTATTAATAAAGTTTAATGACGATAACATATACTGATCAAAGCTTAAAAATAACTGTAATTGTAACGGCTCTTGATAGACCGTTTAGTCCACCCCTTCAGGGTGTAGACCTCTACGCAGTTGATCGGTATATGATACATATACGCTTTTTGGTCTTCCACAAACTTCTTTTCATTTCACTGTATCCAGTAAACATATATTCTCTGCTCTTACTCGTTACGAGTCATGACGCTGATTCGTCCGCTTGTATTCGTATATACTGAGTCAGGAGATTGATCCCTCCGTATGTGGTTACCGTCCTTGCGGAGTATTAAGTTTGATCTCTTACACCGCAGACCAAGAGTGATTTGGAGCTTATTCTCCTGACACTTAAGCTCATCCTTATACTTATCTTCCTCCGTCCACTGAGTCATCTTAACACTCAAATGAACACGCTCTGTCGAGGCCTTGTGGTAACTGCATACTCTTTGCACGATACCTCGACAGTATATTAGAAGGTATAAAATTCCAGAAAACGGTGTAGCCGGCAAGAAAGGAGTATTCGAAGGTTTTAATTCTGTGAGAAGGGACAGGTCAGAGAGACGGCATCTATATGACTACAGATTTTACTATTTATGAAAATTAATATAAATGTGAAATGTATAACTCAAACATTTCTTAATATTCGATTGAAATTGACAGAATATACTTACGATTCAATTTTAATTCCCCAGTCGTAGGATTCAGTTTGGATGTATTCAATTTTCTCAGGGTCGAAAAGGTTTTTATTCCATCCTCCGAGTACGAACTCACCGCCATCTTTAGGATCTCCTTTTCTACAAGATAAATTAATAATAGAATACATTAAAAACTAATAAATAAAAGCTACAAAGGCATTAATAATAAAGTAAAGAACTATAAGCAGTGTTTTCTAAGACTAAATTGAACAAGACCTATGATTACGCTATAATTTAAGTTAATCAAAATTTCCTCGTTCTAGTACACTCAAAATTAAAATGGAAAAACATCGAATCGTAAGAGATGATCCCACTACAGATATCACCATTTTGATAGTCCTTCACATCTTATGGACTCATGGTTTCCCAAACACTATGATTTTACAGAACTACAATAATATTGTATGGCTGCTCAACTGTATTGAGTTGTTAACCACACAGCATACTTATCAATCAACAGATATTATTTAAAAGTAAAATAAAAATAAGAGAGAGTTAGGCGAGACCATTTGAACATATCAAATATGTTAAAAAACCAGTGTACAGAAACCCATAAGCGAAGGCAAAATAGTCTATGCCATTTCTTCATCTGTTCCATTTCAACATTAAGCGTCCACAAGGAATCACTTGTAGTAAAAGATATGGTTCGCCTTCTTCAGAACCTCAGCCCTTTCTCTCTCCGAATCCATCTCTATATTTTTCTTTTAAGAACTTCATAATAATAATAAAAAGCTTAGCGAACCCGAAGTTTCGATGCCGACATCACCAATCGCTTATTACACACCTCCCTCCACCGATCGACGTCCAAACCCAGTACCTTCCGTTCGGCTTTAACGCAATCTTCCCACCTTTGCTTCGGTCTATCCCTCGGACATTTACCATTCGTACAGCAAATATTAATGTTTTAGGAATTCTTCCGTTAATAAGCCTAACGATTTTACAAGCCCATTTGATTCGCCGCGATGAAATCACCACAATTATATTAACCGGATAAAGTTTGAGCAATTCGGCGTAGTGCTACGGTCTAACTCTCCGGTTAACTCATCTTTCTTCGGTCCGAATATTCTACGCAATACTTTATTTTAAAAAACCTTAAGACGTTGCTCATCCCTTAATATAAGCGGCAAATTTTCGCACCTATAAAGTAGTAGGTAATGGTTTTATAGATTCTAGTTTTTAAGTTCCGGAACAAGAGGCGCGAGCTAAGTAGTCACGGAAAAATAACAATGCTCCAGAGTTATAGACAGATTACTATAAAGAAATAGCTGAAGACAAGCAAAGATGAAGAAGACTGAAAAGATCCACAAGGGCTGAAAACCCAATTGTTCCATATTATTGTGGTTTTGTTTCTGTCTAACCAGTTCATCCTCTGAATATAGTTTTAAAATGTTTTCTTATAAAAATAATTGTACGAGTCATCAGTTTTACGAGTAACTTGAACATAAAAGTATTTCATCAAAGTATCTTAAAGTAACTAAAGTAATCTCAAAGTAACTTTCGATTCACTTGATTTTGGAAATTTCCCTCTGAAGTACTTGAAGTAAAGAGTGCCTATCACCCGGGGTATGAGTCTTCCCTATCTTTGCTTTCAAACATACGTTATTGCTGTCTTCTTCTTAAAAACAGTAGAAGCGAAAGTAGAATCTCAAAAAATCGGAGATCATATACAATTATATTTGCTGCAGGCTGATCCGTTTTCGATTTGTCCTCTGGTTTGAAATTTCAAACCCCCCCTTAAAATTGGAAATCCCGTCAAAACAGGGCCCCACCCCCTCAAAAATTTTGAAGGGGCTACTTGCACTATTAAGCCCCCTTCTGGGCATCCCTGCTTGAAGATTTCTCTTTCCTGGTCCATATAATAATAATAATAATAAGCTTCATTGACATCAATTGGTTTGGTATTCTTTTTCTACTTTAAGCACACCAGTGAATTTTTGAGGAGTTTTGCATTTGGATTAAAATATCTCAGGAACGACGGATCTGCATACGGATGCTGTAAGCGAGGAAAATGTCCATCCTCTTTGTAGTGAGCTATCATTAAATTGTATCTTAAAGCGACACCGTGTTAGAAACGGGAAAAGATAGTTTCGCTAGAAAAAAATAAGTTAAAATAATCATTTCTTTTAAAATAAAACAAAAGAGATATGATTATGAAATAACAATGTAAGGCATAAGATAAAAAAACAAAGCCATTTAAGCAATCAAAATCAAGCCTTGAAAAAACATAGAAAATAAAATAAGACAAACCAAACAACCTAATATTGTTCAGAACTTGTTTCCATCTGCTTCCAAACCTTGCCACAAGCCATTAATTATCTTCTAAATAGTCCTTGGTTCAGACCCTTTTTTATCGAATTATTAACATTCGTCTAAAACTTCGAAAATCGTTTCATCTCATCGTAACATACAATTATTTTATTCACGAAAACTATTAGAATTGAGTCGTTTTCAATCTGGAGGGGGGCAAACTTTGTCTATTTAATTAAGTAATAAAAAATCGTAAATAACCATTTGTTTTCTACTTGGATCGTAAGATAATTTGATCACAAAATTGAGAAATAAGGTGGCCTTAAAAAATATTGAGCCGTTTAGCGTGACCTACACACCCAAATTTTCAAAATAACGAGGTTATATGGACCAACGGCCCAATATTTTTGTAGGCCACCTTTTTTATCTGTTTTTTTATCAAATTATCTTACGATCCAAGTAGAAAACATGTGGGTATTTACGTGTTTTTAGTACCTAATTAAATAGATAAGCTTTGCCTTTATCAAAATTGAAAATGCCCCAATTCCAAGAGTTTTCGTGAATAAAGCAGTTGTATGTTACGATGAGATGAAACTATTTACGAAGTTTCAGACGGATGTTAATAATTTGATAAAAAGTTGTCAGTACCACAGACTGCCACACTGTGCGCTGCAGGACGGACCAATGAATTTTTTTTATTCGGTTTTAGAACATGTGTCCAGTTTAACCCAAGAGCTTTAACTCTTCATCTCTGGTCGATATAAAAATGTTTTTCATCGATTTCAGCTTTATGTATAAGAGCTAGAAGAAAAGTTTCGGAGCTACCAAATGCTCATTTTTCATCTGACGTAATGGCTCTTCCAGGTATTTCACATTTTTTATAATTGTGAATCCAACGGCGCATAGACACATACCTTTAATTTTTTCATTATCCTTTTTCTCACCATCTACCCCTTTTTTAGTGTTAACAATAAAATGTTTATTAATTTTTTTTTTTTGGTAAGAACTGAGGGACAATTGTCTCAGAAATATATCTAAGTTTATATAATTTGTATATTTGGCTTCGTTTGCTATGTGGTATCGCGTTTGTGTATACGCTCCAGCCCGGCAGTAATACCCTGTCTTAGGGATTAACACACCAAAATACTGCTGGGTCGAGAGTCTGGAGCTGTCTTTCGTTTGTAGTGGACGTCTACCCCCACCATTTCCACCAAGCTCTAGGCCGTCTCGACTCATCTTTACCTCAACAAAGCCATTTTGAAAAGCTATGTCATCTCTAGTCGTCGATCGAGATTGATAGGCCTATCGATTCGATACTCCCCACCATCGACTTGACATCGTACAAGGTAACCTCTTTGGAAGAAGATCCTCCAACTTGGAACGTTTTTTATCTTCACCATCACCATGGGAAATTTAAATATTAATCTTTTTTTTCTCTCTAAATTATTATTTAAACTTTAATGAACTTTCAAGTTAATTTTTTTCCTTTTAATTAATTTTATTTTGTTCTCTTGAAGTTATTTTTTTCTCTCTTACTTTAATCTTTATTATAGAAGTTTATTTTATTTATGTTTTGTTTCTGATGGTCAATTTTTTTTATTTTTCACTAAATGTTGAAATTATGTCAGTGCATTTGAATAATTTTTTTTTCTTCTCATTTTTTTGTTTTGAATTTTATAAAAATCTTTTATCTCAATAAATGTTGTAAGCATTTAGAAGGGGATTTTTCATTTTCCATTTTTTGATTTATTGAATATCTCTATTTAATATTATTTTCTTTTGCATGCATTTGTTTTTTTCTTTAATGTTTTACAGGTCTCATTTTTACTCTTTTTATTTTTTCCTTCTTTCCGAACATTTAATTTTTCTCGAATTTTCTCACCTTTGAGGAAACTCACCGGGGAAAGATTTGTATTTCGATTGTGAAGTATCCCTGGCCGAAACAGTAGTATAATAAAGCCAAACTTTCAGCAGTGAACTACTCGCTAACCAAAAATTATGACTTAAACACAACATAACTGTATCTGAGAAACAATGCATTAGTAAACCTATTGCAGATAATATAATTTTTTTGTATGTGCGAGATAATATTCATATATTCCTTATAATTTAAAATAATATATAATTAAAATATATAATCACCTGTTCATATAAAATGACATAACATTTCTTTTCAGTAGCTTCTGGCTTAGAAAGTTCTCCAATACTGAAGTCAGGACATCGGGCCTGTTTGGTGAGAATGATAATCCTACGATTCCGTCGAAGAGATTTTCTTGAAAAGCACCCTCCAGAGCTGTCGCCATCTCCTGATCCTTAACTTCTATTCCGGCTATCTTTAATTAAAAATAAAATTAGTAAATAAAAAAAACGCTGCAAATTATTACACAATGGTTATTTACTAATAGTTATATATCATATGTAACACTACTTTCCTTGTGACATACAGGAAAATAAAAGGTGATTCCTAATATAATATTTATTCGTAAATTTTATTTTTTCGTCAGTAATGTGCTAATAAATATAGACAAAAATCTTGATTGCTTCAGCTCATGTAAGACATTCTAAAAAAACAAAAACAAAAGGCCATCAGCTCTGCAGCAGAGCCTGAGGAAAATATTTAGAACACCACATCTTTATACCAAATCATCCAATTTCAATTTCAATTTTTTTTTTTAATTTCTTAAAATTTCAAATGACCATACAATATCCACAAAAAAAAGTATATACTTTATGATTTATTCGTAAATCTAAATTTACAATCCCTCGTAACTTTTTTTCCAGCTTCTTTTCGATGATATATGTTCTATAGATAAATTTAAAGGGTTTCGAATCCGTTTAGGCACTACATTCTATATGATACAGTTTTTTCGGCAGCCATCTTGGTTAGGGATGGTCGATTTTTTTATCAAATTATCATACGATTGACGTGAAATGAATTTTTGTAGATATAAAAAGGTGTGGATATGATAAGATGAAGCAATTCACGAAGTTTTGGATGGATGTTGATAATTTGATAAAAAGATATCTGTTCCACGGATATCTGTTCAATAAGAAACATAAACTTTTCAACTTATATAAATTTTAACGCACATGAAATTTATCAAATTGTTTTAATTTGACTAAACTTTTAACTACGTTTACAAAAAAAAAAAAAGAAGATGAAATTGAACCCATTACTTCCTCAGTACTTTAATATTACTTTGTTCAAGTACAATCATAAAACTCAATATAATTGGCTAACTGAAAACAATTTTCTTAATTAAGCAAGGTTAAGAAAAATGTTTTTAAACAATAGCCATTGATTTGTTATTGCTTTAACGATTATTATAATATAAAAATAAGAAAAATATTTGTTAAAAACTTACATTTACTACATCCTTTCCACATCTACCTCGCATATAACCAATGGCGTAATCGATGGATATCGATCTGTTCAAGTCGACATAACTTGATGATTTGCTTTCATCAAACATATTCTTGTGATCTGAAAAGATAATGGTGAATTTTATAGATTTTTTTTTTTTGCAGCATTAGATGAAATAACACATAAGTGCTATAATAAATTATTTTTTAAAACAGTATTTAGTTCTGTACATAAAATCACAGAACCTTAGTGTTGCCCAAATGAGAGACCGAGACGAGTCTTGGTCATGGCTTTGGTATTCGTAAGAGTCTCGAAACAGTTACTTATTAGTAGTGTTGCCCAATTGCAAGACTGAGACGAGTCTTGGTCTTGCAAACTCAGTCTTGGTCATAGTCTTGTTCTTGCGGAACAGTCTTGCAGTTACTTATTAGCTTCTTACTATATAGATATTACTGTAATTTTTTATATAGGAGAAACCTAACTAAGCCCGAATGAAAAATTAGAGGAGTTAAATACAAAAGTATATTGGTTATACCAATTATGAATATATAGTAACTAAAATTGTCAAGTATTAGTAACTATTTTGCCTTATTTTTATTTAAAAAATCGATTTTTTTACCAGTCCTGGTCTTGGTCTTGCAAAGCGCAAGACCAAGATCGATTTTGGGCAACACTACTTATCAGCTTATTACTATAGAGATATTACTGTAATTTTTTAGATAGGAGAAACCTACGTCCAAATGAAAAATCAGAGGTTATACCAATTCTTAATTTATAGTAACTAAGATTGCCAAGTATTAGTAACTATTTGGCCTTAATTTCTATTAAAAAAAAACGATTTTTTTTTTACTAGTTCTGGTCTTGGTCTTGCAACAGTTAGGGAGCCTTGGTCTTGGTCTTGCAACAGTTAGGGAGCCTTGGTCTTGGTCTAGCAAATTGCAAGACCAAGACAGATTTTGGGCAAGACTACAGAACATATAAGTGGAAAACTGTCACAATATTCGATCGAGTATTCGCTACTAGATACTGTACAAAAAATGAAGCCAAAAAAAGCCAAATTGAGGTTAAACCTTTCTTATAGCTTACTTATATATTATTAAGGATTACTTGTTATAATGAATAAATAATCATTTTTATTTATAAATACTTATTTAATCCTCGAATTACCCAGTCAGTTAGAAATATTTTTAACTTTAGTTTTACTGGTTTTTATCAAGAATTTTAATACCTTGCAATCATCTAAGGATAACACCGACCACTTAACAAAAAAAAACTATATAATCGGTCTATAATTTTTCGATAATATCTGTACAAAACAACACATCAACTTTTTTTCTTCAATCTTTACACTGTTTTATTATTTTGTGATTTTTTTGTTAAATAAAGATTTTTTTTTGTCACTTTAACACCATACTTGCTTACTCTTTTTGAGCGAACGGCTGGGCCGATTGTTATATTTCATGGCTCAAATTATTCTGTGAGATCCTTTAAGAGTTTGAAGCAATTAGGGTTCTCCAAAGACGACCAAATTATATTATATAATGCACTTCATCTGTCCGATAAAAAATATTAAACGAATTATTAAGCGAATGCCTCGAACTACTTTTTAAGTTAAATGATTCATTGAGATCTCGTTACTGAACACTTCAGTAATTGAGAAAAATTGACTCAATAATCTATTGACAGATAAATTGAGATCAAATTACTGAATAAATATTTCATTTGTATTTGAAGTATTCTAAAATTCGAATAGGTTTCATATCGTATGTGTAAGATCCGTGATCAAATGGATGGCATATAAATTGTCAATACTTGAAAAACTAAAAAGGTTAAAATAACAAATCACCACACGATGGAGGTGAAAACATCAACAATAAATACATTGGTTTATAATAGCTCATTATAAAGAGGATGAAATGTTGAACCATTTTCTAGCTTACAGTATGCAGGTCTAATTTTTAGTGTCTGAGATATTTTAATCCATATCTTCTGTAAAACTCATTTGATTTTCGACACTATTTTTTCCTTTTCGCCTCTTTAACATGGCGTCGCATTAAGATAAAAAATTTGAATAATAACTCATTACAAAGAGGATGAAATGATGAATATTTCCTTGGTTGACAATATGCAGGCACGATTAGTTTTTGAGATATTTTAATCCATACACAAAAACACCTCAATTAGTCGACACCAGCCGACTTTACCCGAGCGTTACAAATCGAAGATCTAACGGCTCAATTCAATCTTCACAAAAAGTGCGAAAAAGGCCTAAAAAAGTTTTCATTTCAATAAAATTTTGAATTGAAAAATAATACTATAGAAATTGGAAAATTATCAGGGAAATTTACAGCTTCGGGCAAATAGATTTCGTTGCATATATGTCAACAAACAACGATCCATGCACGCCAACATGTCCTTCCATGCACATCAACATGCGAAACAGTCTTGAAGAGTTTAAATATTTTTAGATGTCAATCTCCCTATCGATCGGCCAAGGAGTTTTATTAGATATAAAACAGGAAGTAAATTTCCTGAGGATGGATGAGATTTTTCGATTACTGCAGGCGATTTTTTTTTTTTTTTAATTAATTATATTTTTATTTATTTATATAATAGTCTATTAACATATTTTAAGTAATTATAAAATTATTTAAGGATATATTAGCGATATACTCACAGCAGTTGCTACAGTTCCTGTTTGGAACCCACAAAAGATGAGATCCAGTGTCAAACATAGCTTCAAACTTCTGAGGTGGAGTCCCAATAGTGAGACTTGCCCAATATTCTTCCTGAAATCAATAAATAAACATCAGTATATAATATTATACTAAAATTATATATATATATATTTTTTTTTCACGAACAGGCCTTAAAGACCACGCGAATACCATGAAGTTAATGCTTCCTCTTCATCTGCCTCCTCTTCTCCCGTATGCCCCTCATGAGCTCCGCGTGCTTACGTTTTCTCTCCTCAGACCACGCAACACCCTTTTTTGGAGCGCTTCTTGCTCGCAAGAACCGTTATTCTCTTGAGCGCCTTTCTGTACTCATCTCTGTCTAAACAATCTTGGTCTCTTAGCCCCACTTGGTCCATATCATCCTTAATCTGTTTAAAATACCCGCTTACATTCTTATGACTGTGGATGCGCTGAAAGATTTTATGGTTAAGTCTTTCAGGATTCATCCTTATCATATGGCCATAGAACCTCAGCCTTCCCATCCTAGCGTCAGTTTCTAGATCCGTTGTTTCCTTATATATTTACCGATTTGACCTCAACCTGTATCCTTCAGGTGTTCTCCTAGGCCCGTAGATTCTTCTGAGAATTCTTCTTTCTATTTTCAGAAGGCTTTCTAGGTTAGGAAGACAAGAAGTTTCTGTTGAGTAGAGTAACTATGGCTAGACGACCGTGTTATAATGTCGTATTCTGGCTTTTAGAGACAAGTTCTTCTTTTTATAAAGCTCACTGGTGGCGAAGCTTAATTTCTCTATTTTGGCGATTCTTTCCTTAAACCCTTCTCTCTCTGACCCATTGCTGCATATGATTTCTCCAAGGTTATAATATACAACCTCTAAAATTATATAATATACAATAAATTATAAATAATGTACTGCAGTATAATACACCATAATATGTCTATAAATTATAGACTCATAGTCCGTGGTACAGATCCTTCTTATCAAATTATTAACATCCGCCTGTAACTTCGTGAATAGCTTCATCTGAAGGTAGGCAAACATTGTCTATTTAATTAGATACTAAAAACTCGTATATACCCATTTTTTTCCCACTTGGATCGTAAGATAATTTTATCACAATATCGAAAAAAAAAAGGTAGCCAACAAAAATCTTGGACTGCTTGGCCTATAAAACCTCGTTATTTTGACATGTTGGGAGTTTAGGTGACGCCAAACGGCTCAATATCTATAAAGGTCACCTTTTTTCTCGAGTATGTGTTCAAACTATCTTACGATTCGAGAGGAAAGCAAACGGGTGTTTACGAGCTTTTAGTTCCTAATTAAATAGACAAAATTTGCCGAACTCCAGATTGAAAACGCCACAATTACAAGAGTTTTCGTAAATAAAATATTTGTAGGTTACGATGAGATGAAGCTATTTAGGAAGTTTCAGGCGGATGTTAATAAATTAATTAAAAGAGGCCTGTACCACGGACTATCATTACAGTTTCTATCAAAAGTTTTGATTAAAATTTAATTTTTTTTTTTACGAATAGTGATCATGATCTTAAATTCGATGTCGATTAATATATGAAATCGTTACAAAAAAAATAATGTATGATAAAAAGGAAGACGATTTCCTCATCATTTATATTTATTAAACAAGGAAAAAACAAATTTCTAGTTTTAACTATTTGTTTTGACATGTTTAGGAAAATTGATTCACCTTTTTGACATCTTTAGCGTCATTTCTTTTATATGTAGTTTTCCTTAATTTTATCTCTTCTTTGTCTGCATGTAATAGAATAAAAAATATATAAACATGCATACACTTCACTAAAATAAGATTATAATTGTATTTGAAAACAGAATTCGGTCTATATATTACTATGTATTGTAAAGACCGCCGGTGGATTCCATTTAATTATTTTAAATGTATAAATAAATAAATATCATAAGTGCTCACATCTGGCGGTACCTGAGCGAGAGTAACGACCCACGAGGACAACCTTTTGTAAGTGGTAATAAAAACCCTTAAGAACCACCGACCAAGACCGAACACAGTCTCACGCCTGATTGTTTATACAAGATCCAAAGAAAAATTAACACCTTCCAGAAATACGTAAAATATACCTGGTTAGTGGAATACCTTGGCCTGGGGGAGAGGGCGTGGTCATCCCTTAGGCTAGGAATATTCAGCCAATCAGGAAAAAGTACAAAAAGAGAGGGGGATGACTGGAAACTAGGACGGTTAGAGTTTTGAGGAATACACTTGATCAGGAGAGGCGGAGAGAGCAAGATATGGACTGATAGCTGGGACTCTGCTGGGGCTCAAGCGAGGACGGTTGAACACTGGGAGGAAGACGGAGGCTGAGGAGAGCGACATGGAAGGAGACTCGAAGATGATGAAGAACCAGCTATGTAATAACCCTCATTTAGTTATACAGATGTAAACTTGTGTTGGCAACCATAAATCGGTAATTAATAGAATCAATAGAATACATGTAACTTTAATCAAACATCAAGCATTCTCCTCTAGTATGATTCTCAACTATTCATTATGTATATAGGTTTAGTTATTATTTTGTATATAGATGTTTTTGGTTGTTGAAGTTGATAAATATAATAGTTAGTAAACCATCTTGTTAATTTTACATTCTACCTTGCATGCCACCAATTAGTAATAGAAACAAACAGTAAATTTAAAAACAAGATACCTCTAGAAAAGAAATCCAATAAAAATTATATGGTTCAATCTAGGATACTACAGTAGGGGTCTGTGGTATCTAACCTTTTAATACAGAATTAATATATTTTTCGGTAGATCGGTTCCCTTCTGGGACCGATATAAATACCAATATAAGTATTAAATACAAATAAATGCGGTTCCTGGAACCCCCTACTCATCGTAGAAACGCGAGGCCAGGAACATAGCAATATATAAAATATCTGGTGCGCGCATCATACTTTTACTTACCACTCTACTTTTCCCATCTTGTTACCAAGTATTGTGAAATCCAGCTTGAACTTTCTTAAGAGTTCAGTTCCATCAATAATGTACTTAGTGACAATATTGCAATGAACCGACGATACACTTACTCTGGTCCTAGATCTCTCCGGTTATTGTGCGGATGATTTTAATTTCAAATCATTCAATTATTTTTTTTAGGTTGTTGGAAAGAGTCCAAATCATGAGTCTTATATAAACACAACTGTTTCTTTTCAACATTACACTTCCTGAATTTAAGATTTGTAGAGATTTTTGGGATTTCAATGCTTTTGAAAGATAGCATAAATATATGTATCCGCTTATTATACCTTGTTATACGATTTGAATATCTGCAGGGATTGTGCGGGTTTATATCTAGTTGAGCCCGTATCCCGTATTAGTTTTATCAAGCACTTACTAGACAAACGCTTTAAGCTTGCAGCTCATTACAAAAGACTCATATACATGACTACAATAAGACCTATTTGGACTTACGGAATAGAGCTCTGGGGCTCCACTAAGCCATCGTATTCCTCTCGTATCCAATCCTTACAATCCAAAATCCTTCGTAAAATCCTCACCGCTCCTTACTTTGTCACAGATAAAATAATCCATAACGACCTTAATGTTCCTTACGTTTCTAACCTGGCCCAATCCTCCAAACCCTCTCGTTTCTAACCTTACTTCCTCTTCAATACCTGATAATCCTCCGAGGCGTCTGGAAAGAAGATGGCATCGAGATCTGCTTTTGTAAATAGATTTTTAGAGTGTTACCAATAGCTAGTTTCTCAACAAGTGGTTTCACGTTATAATATTCTTGTATTCACATTTACTGAATGTATTTTTATTTGTAATAAACTTGTAAATATCATAAATAAAAAAAAAGTTTTTACAAATCCTGGCTCTTTCTTTTCAAGTTAGAGTTTGGTAAAAAAAAAAAATCTGAGTATCATTACCACCATGTATCATCCATTATATTTAATTAAGCAGAAGGTATCTCATATTTTATGTATTTATTAAAATCGTTATTTAAATAGGCAAAGGTAATACAATTCAATCTCTTTTTATTCTCTGTTCCTGCATCGATTTTCTTTTTTCTTGTTTAGTAGCTATTGGCTAGCTTTAATGTTATCAATAAAAAAAATTGTAAACAATGTACATAAATAAAAATTTAAATATTAGTTTGTTCTAAAGCACTAATATTTCACAAAAGTTCATCACCGATTGCTTTGAAATTTTTATATAACGTTCCATAAAATTCAGAAGTGTTTTTATATGCATTTCATTATCATCCGGCTTTTTGTTTAAAAATTGCAGCCAAAAACCATGAGTCGCTATAGACTTTAACGCCAAAACGAATCTAACGATTTTAACAAGATTTGGCTGAATTATCCTCCTTGAAATCCTTTTAATTTATGTATAAACTTACTTCTCCAAAAAGAGACTGAATGATTTCAGAATTTTATTCGTGAATAACTCAAAAAGTACACAATTTTTGGATTATTAAAGCTATGAATATTTGAAAGATTCATGAATACCCTATCAAATGAAAAATAAATTATCGATAAAAGTATTATTATCACATTTAATAGGACTTAAATTTATTAAATTAAATTTTTAAGTCTCACTTAAACACCGTTTCATATAGGTAGTTAGTTTCTTTCATTCGTTCGAAGTAATTATCCTAATATATACATGCAAAAAAATATCATTAGGGCAGAAGCCTCCCCCCCCCCAAAAAAAAAAAATTAAATCCTGGATCCGTTAGTGCTCAATGGCAAAGATTGGAGCAGTTTAAATATGTGTCATATATATGCTTATAAATATAGAATGTTTTTAATTCGGCAATACAACACATAACATTCTTTAGTTATTTGTAAAACAAAAGCAATTATAATATTAAGGTTACGCAACAAAAATTATTTGTTTCTTATTTTTTGACAAATTAAAGTTTATTTTGATTACCTCAAGCCTTATAACCTTCTCACCGAGCTTCTTTATATCACTAAGAAAAAGAAGCTAAATTTTTTTGCTTTTGCCAATTTACATAATGATTATATGCATGTTGTTTCCATAGAAACCGGATATTTATTTATATAAACTAAATTATCATATTGAATTAATCAGATGACTTATGTTAAAATTGTAAAACCATATATTTATATATATTTTTTTTATTATACTGATTAAGCCCCAAACAAATAACCACATTTTTTTACGAATTTAATATTAATATGACCAATATTTTTTCAATTGTTGAGGTTTTCATTTGATAATAATGTTTATGAAACTAGTCTTAACAGCTGTGAACTTTCTTTCGGTTCTGTTAAAATTTCAAAGTTATAAATATTAGTTATAAATAAGTACTACTTACATTTCTTAAGTTCTTGAAGGTTAAACTTGCAGATCTCCTGACTGTAGGAAAAGTTACAGGTTTAAAAGTTCCTTCTTTTCTGTGGAGTTTAAACCTAAAATATCGTTAAATAAACTTTTATTATCGACTTTATCACTATATTAAAATATATATATTTTTTAGCATCTCCAATTGGATAATGCTTTATTCACTTACTTTAATTCTGTTCCGCTTACGAAGTAAGCAAGAGAAGATATTACGAGGAACGTTGCAAGAGAACCCATCTTGCAAGCGTCTAGGTTCACTCTAGAACAATTTAACATATCTTGAGTATATATATACGCAATTAGTATATTTTTATCTAACCTCAAAAGTAAACCGCCAAGCGATAATATTAATTAACACTTGACAATCTAAAAGCACACTTATAATTATAATGTACATACATTAAAGCTTTTAAAAAATATTAAATATATGACTTAGGTACATAAAAAAAACAAAAAACATTAAAAATTCTCATTTTGAAGTTCAAGGACTAGATTGAATAATCAGACTAAACTGAATACTATAATAATAATTAAAAACTGAATTAAAAATTCAGGTGCCAAGATTTTTATAAAATAAAAAAAATTGGGTTTGTCAGAATTACATATAAAAATGTTTAAAGATAACATATTTTAAAAGAAGAATACATTTTAAAATTATTGATGAATAATTACTTAATTACCAAAATATGTATTTTTTTTTTACTAAACAATATTAATACAAATATATTGACGTTATTTTATTTTTATTATATTTTTTTAATATTTCCATAATTTTGGCTCCACAACAACCATCGGAAATACACAAAGGATAAAAAGAAAAAAAAATACACAATAAATCTCAAATTAAGGATTTAAGATGCTATGATAAGGCCTATCATAAAAAAGTATTGAAAGGTTAAAAAGAAAAATTCTCTCCAGGACCAATAAAGAACTGCTTACAAAAACTGGTCAATCAATTTCTCTCGATATGAAGGCAATGAGATTAAGATGGGTGGTACGTGAAGCTCGTAGCAAGCCTTATGGAAGCCCCTACACAACATCGAATGACACAATGTTGGGTAAGAGAACAAGTGGAAAGCCAAAACCCAGATGGATGGATGGAATCAATAAAGCTAACTGGAAGATAACTTGATAGAAATATCCCAAAATAGGCATAAATAGAGAAGGCTGATTAAGACGGAAAAAGGTATGTAATAACAATAGAAAAATAAAATAAAAAATATTATTATTAAATATTTTTAAAAAATATTGTAATTATATAACAATTTATATAGCAAGATTATGGCTGAGGAGGTGATTAAAAGATAATAATAATAATAACCTTTATTGAAATCAATTATTGACAAATACCGTTTCTCCCTAAGGAGAAATTTTAACGGAGATGGCTACAGAACAGAAAAACATGTTTAAATTATTACATTTTTTTTAAATGTTTAAAATAAAACAAAACAGATATTTTTTTTATATAGAATTATCATATAAGAACAAAAAAAAAAAAAAAGCCATACGTAAAGAGAAGAGTCTTGGAAGCACTCGGTTAATAAAAAGACAAACAGAATATAATAAAACAAAACAAAGCAACTAATTTTGTTTATAACTGGTTTCCATCTGTACCATATATATATATTATTTTCATGAGTTCGGGTCTCTCTGTGTGAGATATGATCGGTTCAAAGTAATTACTTCATTGACGGTAATAAGCAGTCCTCTGGTGGATTAATGGAGAATACGTTTTTTTAAAAATGATTAATTAGTTTCAGGTAATAATTCTATATAAGATGTATAAAGAAATAAATTATGATTTGGTGATTAACCGAGTGAGAACTGTTATATCTCTGATAGATTGATCCTGGATCTCAAGAGGTCAATCATGAAAATAAGGAGACAAGTTCTCAGCAATTATAATATTATAAATTATACAATTATCATCATATATTATGTAAATAGTATATCTAATATAATAGAGGGATATAAGATATTTATCTTAAATTAGGTGAGTTTCAACGTAATCATATTTCTGGGAAAATGGCTGGATGAGTTAGTTTTGTTAGAACAAGAATGCATTCATATAATTAACAATGATGTAGAGATGGTTGACCGTTGATATAATATGAGAAGGAGTTAGTCGAGGGTGTGGTCAAATAAATAATAAATTAAAATATATTAATTATTTTAATTTTTGCCGACGTTTCGACCCACTTTGCAGGTCGTCTTCAGGGCTAAAAAAGATACAAAACTTATTGAAAATAAAAAATAAATATAAGTATATATAAAATAAGAAGAAGTTGTCAGATACAGAAATAAAACATGGTATCAGAGATATAGTGGGTGACAATGTAGTTAAATATTACGAATTATATATGTAGAAGATACAAATAAATGGAAAATAAGTATGAATAAAAATAAAAATAAGGGAGAATATAGCATTTTTATTTTTATTCATACTTATTTTCCATTTATTTGTATCTTCTACATATATAATTCCTAATATTTAACTACATTGTCACCCACTATATCTCTGATACCATCTTTTATTTCTGTATCTGACAACTTCTTCTTATTTTATATATACTTATATTTATTTTTTATTTTCAACATGTGTTGTATCTTTTGCAGCCCTGAAGACGACCTGAAAAGTGGGTCGAAACGTCGGCAAAAATTAAAATAATTAGTATATTTTAATTCATTATTTATTTGACCGCACCCTCGACTAACTCCTTCTCATACAATTAACAATATGAATTGTCAAAGCTGGCATACGATTATCATGCAAGGACATAGAATTATAGATTTTTTTTCATAATTTAACATAAATAAATAATAATAACAAACAAAAAATATATTACCGCTCAATTTTGAATAGAAATTATTTTCTGGTCATGTTGGGCTACTATAATTTTTTTTTAATTACATTTTTAACCAACTAAAGCTAAAAGCTTACAGCTAACAAATCATAAATGCCATTAAAATAACAAAAGTCCTATTTATTATATCACCGGTTGATTATGGATTGTACGACTATTAGTTATTAAACTATTATTTTTCATTGCAAAGTTTACTGAAATGGAATTAAGGATTTGCACTGACAGGTCAATCATTCATCAAATCATTCACTAATTTAATTTTCTAAAAAGTTACATGATGATTTTTCGGAATAAACTGGCGATAGATCTAAATATAATATCAGATCTGGAGTTATTAAACTACAGTAAATATATTTAAGACTATAAACGTATCCATGAAATATTTTTATATTTCACTTCTTCTTTCACACAAGTACAATGAAATAATATCTTAAAAAATGTCATTGTCTTGAATCCGTGGGTTATAAATACATTGTCAAACTTAAAAAAAAATTTAAAAGTTTACGTTTAGTAAGAAAATTTAATTTATTTTCCTTAAAATCACGTGATTTACGTTAAATAATGTTAGTTCTTAGAAATTATTATTTATATTTTTTTTCGCCACTCTGCTTTACCTTCTACAACTTTCTATATTAGATATTGTTTTCTAAAATTCTTCGCTTTCCAACGATATATTATACGTTTACCTTCTGACTAGTATTTCCGGAGATTCATTTTCGACCTGGATAAGCATTTTTATTTTTTTCTCCTTTATTCAATTATCAAATTATTTCAAAAGTTATACTTAGCATTTTTTGGTAACTCTTAATAATGTGAAATAGTTAATTATTTAAAAATAAACCATATTAAAGGTACTTTAGAGGAAGACGTATATGAACATTGTGCATTTAAGCTCTGTAAAGTTCAATGGGGATAAGACCTAATTGATATTAAAGACCACTTAATTATACAATGATACACCGAGTTTCACCGTTGATATAATGTGGCACTTCCGGTTATCAGATTTTAAGGAAAACGTTTCTGCCACATCTAAGGAACACCTTAAATACGTAATATCAGTTTCATACGACTTTCCGTTTTTCAGCTAGACCGTTCACATACACACAGACCATTTTGCGGGACTTCGTTATTTGGACTCAGGGAACTCCAAAACGTGTATTTCCGTTAAAAATTCAGATTAAAAAATTTTCATGTTCGTAATACTTACTGTTACTATATATTACATGTACAGCTAAGTAAAAGTAATATGAATAGTCAAAGCTGGCATGCGCTGTACGATTGTCATGCAATGACATAGAATTACCGATTTGTTCCAGAATTTAACACATATGAATAATATTTAAAAAATATTTGAATTAAAAAAAAACTACAAAAATTAGGGCACTAATTCCACCCATAGGGAACGTACTGCTATATATTTTTAATATCTTGGTAGATTGATAAATTGACATATACGTATTTTTAAATATGCTGTAGTAGTCAGGAGCCTTTCACTACAGATTACTGGTCTTAGCAAATAGATTTCGTTCCATGTATTAGTGCATGTGAACATCCCAAAGATTCTTCAGTTCTGTCCATCGGTGGTAGACACCCGATTACTAATCCTAGTTTAAATATTCGTAGATGTAAAATTTCCCAATCAATCTACCAAGATGTTTAAGTAAATATGGAATGACATTCTCTTAGGGAGGATAATATTTCCTAATTGCTGTTCCTAATATTTTTATTTAAAAATTTTCAATTTTTAAAATATTAACAATTTATTTTCATACCATGTGATCATGGTATGAAAATAAATGATATCATTTATATATTACCATATGATATCATTTCGAATCATTTATTTATTTATTTATTTATTTATTTATTTGTTTTTTATTGTTGCCTCTACCCTGTAGGGTCATTGGCAACACTTCCTATTTATATTCTATTGTAGAATTTTATTTTTTTTAAAAACTGTAATGTTTTTTCCACGGCGTTTTCGTTGTCGCTGAGGTTTTCTTTTAGGCTCTGAGCCATATTGAGATTTTCCCTTACATTCTCAAATACTGGGCAGTCTTGAATGATGTGTTGGACAGTTCTTTGCACCTTACAGCTCTCGCAGGTCGGTGGGTCTATTCCTCTTAGTAAGTAGGCATGTGAAAATTCGCAATGCCCAATTCGTAAGCGGCAGAGGACTGTCTCTTCTTTTCTGGAGAGTCGGTTGCTAGTTTTCCATTTGGAACAGTGGCTTTTTATTCCTTTTAATTTGGTTTCTATTTGTTGCCATACGTTCTGCCACATTACCCGCAATTTTTTTTTTATATGATGTATGAAATCTTCTATCGGGATTTCTTTGATTATAACTGTTGGATTTGTATCTAGCCTTCTCGCCATATTTGCTGCTTTGTCTGCC